CACGTGTGTTCGGAAAGGCATGCTCGACACTTACACTAGGCGGTTCCATGATCGCATTCATGCAAATATATTCACTCGCGCGCAGACCCATTCATACTCAGATTCCCTCGCGCTCTGACTCACCCGCGTTCTTTCTCTCGTAATCAGATCAATCGTAATCCTTTGCGTTGTGTACCCCGCCACATTTCGGCACACCCCTCATGCGGTTCGTGGCCCCATAGAGAGCACCACCGAAGAAGATACTCCCAATTGCGATACTCACAACTGCATATGGTTGGGTCCTTCGCCAGGATAATTGTTTTTTTCTGCATTCCGACGGCCCAAGACGGCCCAAGAGGCCCCCAAGATCCCCCACGAGGCCTCCAAGATGGCCCCATGACGGCCCAAGAGGCCCCCAAGCCTGCCCTAAGAGGGCCCAAGATGGCCTCCAAGACGGCCAAAATGGCCTCCAAGACGGCTAAAATGGCCCCAAGATGCCTCCAAGACGGCCCAAGGTGCACCCAAGACTGCCTAAGATGGCCTCAGGATGGCCCAAGACGGCCCAAGAGACCCCCAAGAGGCCTTCAAGACGGCCCAAAAGACGTCAAGGAGGTCTTCCAGGAGGGCCAGAAGAGGCCAAAAACATTGATTGTCCTAAGGTTTTGACAGATTTTGACATTTGCTTCTTTTCGGCCTTCCGACGGCTCAAGACGGCGCAATAAGCCCCCAAGATCGCCCACGAGGCCTCCAAGATGGCCCCATGACGGCCCAAAAGGTCCCCAAGACGGCCCCAAGAGGGCCACAAGACGGCCGAAGGGGCCTCCAAAACGCCCAAGATGGCCTCCAAGAACCCCTGATGTGCCCCAAGAGGGCCCCAAGACGATCCAGGCAGGCCCCCAAGACGGCTTCCGACCGCGTCAGACAAGCCGGGAACGCCCTAAGACGGCCAAAGAGGCCCCCAAGAAGCCTCTCAAGGCTCCCAAAAACCCTCAAAGAGGCCCCCCAGAAGCTCCCAGGAGGCCCCAAGAGGCGCCCAAGAGGCATCCTCCTCCTCCTCCTCCTCCTCCTCCTCCTCCTCCTCCTCCTCCTCCTCCTCCCTCCTGCTCCTCCTCCTCCTCCTCCTCCTCCTCCTCTCCTCCTCCTCCTCCTCCTCCCCTCTCCTCCTCCTCCTCCTCCCTCCTCTCCTCTCCTCCTCCTCCTCCTCCTCCTTCCTTCCTCCTCCTCCTCCTCCTCCTCCTCCTCCTCCTCCTCCTCCTCGACCTCGTCCTCCTCCTCTTTTCCTCATCCTCCCATCCTGCTCTTCTTGCTCTCCCGCACGTTCCCCGAAGTCTTTCCAAACCAGCTCGGGGAACAACTGGCCCGATAGCTTGGCCAAGCCCTGGCCCAGCTGTCGGCCACAGAGGCGCTTCCAAGGGGGCAGGGGGCGACGGTGATTCGCCGTAGGCGTCTTCGATCTGCCGCACCCTGTCGATTCAACGCAGGGGTGCCGGAAGTGGGTGTGCTAGATGATTTCGGTTTTGGTTTTGGTTCTTTTCCAAAAGAACTCCCCCTGGGACTCTGGCGCGTCCCGCTGAGGTCCCGGGAAGGATCTGAAAACGCATCCGTCGATGCCTTTGTTGCCCCAAGTTGGCCCAAGATGGCCTCCAAGACGACCAAGATGGCCCAGGATGGCCTCCAAGTTCGCCCAAGATGGTCCAAGATGGCCTCCAAGACGGCCCAAGAAGGTCCAAGATGCCTTCTAAATCGTCCAAGAAGCCTCAAAACGGGCCAAGATGACTCCAAGATGGCCTCAAGATGGCCCAAGAGGAGAGTCCGAAGAGGCCAAAATCATTGATTGTCCATCGTTTTGTATGATTTTGACATATGTTTCTTTTAAGCCTTCTCGCTGTCCAAGACGGCCCAAGAGGCCCCCAAGATCGCCCCCAGAGCACCCACGAGGCCTCCAAGATGGCCCCATGACGGCCCAAAAGGCCCCCAAGACGGCCCCAAGAGGGCCCCAAGACTAGCCAAAATGGCCTCCAAGACGCCCAAGATGGCCTCCAAGATGGCCCGAAGCGCCCCAAGAGGGCCCCAAGCCGGTTCAGAGAGGCCCCCAAGACAGCTCCCCACGGCGTCAGACGTGCCAGGAACCCACCAAGATGGCCGAATTTGGCTCGTAGCTGGCCCAAGACGGCCCAAGAGGCCTCCAAGAGGGCTTCCAGGAAGGCCAGAAAAGGTAAAAAAACACGGATTGTCCTAAGGTTTTTGAAGGATTTTGACATTTGCGGCCCAAGAGCCCCCAAAGATCGCCAAAAGATCGCCCAAGAGGCCTCCAAGAGGGCTCCAGAACGGGCCAAGAGGCCCCCGAGACGGCCCCAAGAGGCCCCCAAGACGGCCCAGGAGGCCTTTAAGACGCCCAAGATGGCCTCCAAGACGGCCCTGGAGCATTCCAAGAGGGCCCCAAGTCGGCCCAGAGAGGCCCCCCAAACGGCTTGCGACGGCGTCAGACGGACCAGGAGCCCACCAAGACGGCCGAACATGGCCCTAAGATGGCCCACCAAGAGGGCCTCCAGGAAGGCCCGAATCATTGATTCCCCATGGGTTTTTGAAGGACTGTGGCATTTGCTTGTTTTCGGCCTTCCGACGGCCCGAGACGGCCCAAGTACCCCCAAAGATCGCCCAAGAGGCCCAAGACGGCCCCAAGAAGCCCCCAAGACGGCCAAAGAGGCCTCCAAGACGCTCAAGATGGCCTCCAAGACGGCCCAAGAGCCCTCCAAGACGTCCTCCAAGAAGGCCGGAAAGGGTCAAAATGACCTCCAGACGGCCGAGATGACCTTCAAGATGCCCACGTGTTCCCCGAAGGCTTTCCAAATCGATTCGGGGAACACATGGAGCGATAGCTTGGCAGGTCTAGCCTCCACGTTCGGCCACATAGGCGCTTCCAAAAAGGCAGGGGGCGGCGGTGATCCGCCGTAGGCGTCTTCGATCCGCCGCCCCCTGTTGCTTGCAAGAGGGGTGCCTGGCGTGCCAAATCGTATCGTTTTGGGTGGGTTCTTTTTCCAAAAGAACTCCCCCTGGGGCTTCGGCCCGTCCCGCCAGGGTCCCGGAAAGATTGCCCAGACCCGGCTCCAAAGGGTTTTTCCTGTCCTGACAGCTCCAAGACGGCCCAAGATGGCCTCCAAGACGCCCAAGATTGCCTCCAAGACGGCTAAGATGGTCCCAAGATGTCTCCAAGACGGCCCAAGATGCACCCCAAGACGGCCTGAGATGGCCTCCAGATGGCCTGAGACGGCCCAAGAGGCCCCCAAGAGGCCTCCAAGACGGCCCAAGGGGCCTCCAAGAGGTCCTCCAGGAGGGCCCGAAGAGGCCAAAATCACTGATTTTCCTTACGTTTTTGATTTGGGAATTTGCGCCTTTTTGGCTTTCCGACGGCCCAAGACGGCCCAGGCGGCCCCCAAGATCGCCCCAAGATCGCCCACGAGGCCTACAAAAAAATTGCCCAGTGACGACCCAAGAAGCTCCCAAGATGCTCCCAAGAGGGCCCCAAGACCGCCAAAGAGATCTCCAAGACGCCCAAGATGGCCTCCAGACGGCCCAATATGCACCCAAGACGGCCTAAGATGGCCTCAAGATGGCCTGAGACGGCCCAAGAGGCCCCCAAGAGGCCTCCAAGACGGCCCAAGGGGCCTCCAAGAGGTCTTCCAGGAGGGCCCGAAGAGGCCAAAATCAGTGGTTTTCCTTACGTTGTTGGCATTTGCTTCTTTTCGGCATTCCGACGGCCCAAGACGGCCCAAGAGGCCCCCAAGATCGCCCACGAAGCCTCCAAGATGGCCCCATGACGGCCGGAGAGGCTCCCAAGACGGCCCTAAGAGGGCCCAAGATGGCCTCCAAGACGGCTAAGACGGCCCCAAGATGCCTCCAAGACGGCCCAATATGCACCCAAGACAGGCTAAGGTGGCCTCAAGATGGCCCAAGACGGCCCAAGAGGCCCCCAAGAGGCCTCCAAGACAGCCCAGAAGGCGTCCAGGAGGTCTTCCAGGAGGGCACGAAGAGACCAAAATCATTGATTGTCCTACGGTGTTTGAAAGATGTTGGCATTTACTTCTTCTCGGCATTCCGACGATTCAAGACGACGCAAGAGGCCCCGAAGATCGCCCAAGAGGCCTCCAAGATGGCCCCATGACGGCCCAAAAGGCTCCCAAAACGTCCCTAAGAGGGCACCAAAACGGCCCGAAAAGCATCCAAAACGCCCAAGATGGCCTCTAAGAACCCCTGATATGCCCCAAGAGGGCCCCAAGACGACCCAGACAGGCCCCAAGACGGCTTCCGACGGCGTCAGACAAGCCAGGAACGCCCTCAGACGGCCGAAGAGGCCCCCGAGAAGCCCCCAAAGGCCACCGAAACCCCTCCGAGAGGCCCCCCTGAAGCTCCTAGGAGGCCCCAAGAGTACCCCAAGAGGCGCCCAAGAGGCCTCCTCCTCCTTCTCCTCCTCTTCCTCCTCCTCCTCCTCCTCCTCCTCCTCCTCCTCCTCCTCCTCCGCCTTCTCGTTTTTCCTCCTCCTCCCCCTCCTCCACCTCTTCTTGCTCTCCCATGCGTTCCCCGAAGTCTTTCCATACCGACTCTGGGAACAGCTGGCCCGATAGCTTGGCCAAGCTCTGGCCCAGCTGTCGGCCACAGAGGCGCTTCCAAAGGGGCAGGGGGCGGCGGTGATTCGCCGCAGGCGTCGTCGATAACGCCAACGCCTCAGTATGCGCTGATGATTCCAATCCGCCCCCGCATGATGTTCCCAGATGCGCCAAGGCAGCGCCGAGACGCACCGATGGGGGGTCACATGCGAACCCTACCCCTACCCTCCACGACTTCTGAGGGGGAGGGTGGGGTTCACTTCCCTCGGGAGCTCCCGAACGAAGTGAACCCCACCCTCCCCCTCAGAACTCGTGGGGGGTAGGGGTAGGGTTCGCATGTGGCCCCCTAACTGACGCGACTCTGATATATCCCGTTATGATACAGAGGGGGCCAGCGGCAGGGGGCGAAGCCCTCACGGATAATTCGGATACAGCTGGCAGACCCGCGCAGCCAGCACGGCCCACGTGACGCCACCAAAGAAGCCCAGCACGTTCGAGTAGATGCCCCGACGCTGCGCCCAGCACTTCACAAACCTCAGGGTCGACCGGAAGGAATCCTGGTTCGGCACCAGCTGCAGGATCTGGTCCGCAACCCTGTAGCAGTTGATGCACCGGATGCTCCTGTCGTCCATGTCCTTGAGAATCTGATCGTCCTTCAGGGCCTCCTCCAAGCTCTGCCCCTCATCCAGCGGCTTGGCGAGCCGTGCGAAGAGGAGGTCGATGCTCACCCCGCGCATCTTCAGCTTGATGATCGGAGTGAAAGCATCCGGGATCGGTGCACACTCCTCATGGCCCGGACCGCCAGTCCAACCTCCTCTTTCACATGGACCAGAAAACAAGCGACACCACCCCACCTACACCCTGCGAAATGCTTAGGAAATCATGGGTTAGGAAATTCATGGTCTCAGAATTTGAATTAAAACCCAACATTTCTATTACAATCTTAGGATTTACATTGAAACATTAAGAATAATCGAGACTCTGGTCGAAAGCTTAAGTTTTCTTAAGCATCGCCTAAGGTGTACGGCCCCACGGGCCTAGCGTATACCAGGAAATCTGGCGTGCGTTGCGCTCTTGCGTGGTATACGCTACAGCCCCCGATGGGCCGTAGCGCAGCATGGAGGGCCGTGGGTGGGGTGGCGTCGTTTGTTGCTTGGTCGATCCAAAGCAGGCCGATAGCCCCACAGACACCGAGGGCTTCGACGTGCGATGGGGTTCGCCTGCACGTTTTGTGAAGCCTGCGGGGCCCTGGAAGGCCGTAGGCCTCCTGCCTGCAGCAGCGGCAATGGGAAACTGGGGCCCCAGACATCCGACGACTGGATCCTGCTCTCGCAGGCCCCTAGACCTCCCGACCCCGTCCCCAGGACCAAGCTTTCACGCCGAGCGTGTTTGCTAAAGGCACCGCGGCACGGGAACGGCCCACAAGTGCGACGCCCCAAGATGTCTGTATCCACTGCCGCTGGGTAGTGTACTGGCGACTCGGGGAACGGTGGATATGGCTATCTGCCCCCACTCCTCGGGATCCCAGGGTATGACTCCGAAGCGGCGGATGTGAACATTCTCTGGCGGTGGAATAGAAGCAGAAAACAGCAAGGGACGAGCCCTCTGAGGTCTGGGTCTCAAGAAGCCCCTGAAGTCCGCCGGCCCCGTTGTGGGGCCACCAGGCTGTAGGGCGAAGGTTCGCAGTTTCCTGTACCAGTTGCAGCTTCCAGTTTCCACTGTTACAGTTCTGCTTCTTGCTGCTTACTGTTCCTTGTTACAGTTCTGCTTCTTGCTGCTCACTGTTCCTTGTTGATGGACGCGCAGGGGGGGGAGGCCCAAAACGGACATTTTTACCACGGCCAAAAAGTATTGTCTGAATTGCTGGGGTGGGTAAAAGTTAACACCCCTCACACAGATCGGCGGAGTCAGGGTGCAAAAACATCAAGGATTTGCAACATTTCTGAGATTCGGCGGCACCCCTCACACAGATCGGCGGGGTCAGGGTCCAAAAACACAAGGGATTTGCCACATTTCTGAAATTTGCTAACGCCCCTCACGCAGATCGGCGGGGTCAGGGTCCAAAAACACAAAGGACTTGCCACACTTCTGAAGTTCGGTGACACCCCTCACGCAGATCGGCGGGATCAGGGCCCAAAAACACACGGGATTTGCTACATTCCTGAAGTTGGGTAGCACCCCTCACACAATTGGCGGTGTCAGGGTGCAAAAACACATAGGATTTGCCACATTTCTGAAATTCGGTGGCACCCCTCACGCAGATCGGCGGGGTCAAGGTCCAAAAACACAAAGGATTTACCACATTTCTGAAATTCGGTGCCACCCCTCACGCAGAACGGCAGGGTCAGGGTCCAAAAACACAAAGGACTTGCTACATTTCTGACATTCGGTGGCACCCCTCACGCAGATCGGCAGGGTCAGGGTCCAAAAACACATGGGATTTGCCACATGTCTGAAATTCGGCGGCACAACTCACGCAGATCTGTAGGGTCAGTGTCCAAAAAACACCAGGGATGTGCCACATGTCTGAAATTCGGTGGCACCCATGACGCAGATCGGCGGGGTCAGGGTCGAAAAACAAACAGGTCCCGACACTGCTTCACGGCGGCGCCCAGACCTCATGATTTAGCTTTTGCATCTCCCGTTATCCGAGACAGGGGGCCGGCGGAATGGGGCGAAGCCCTTACGGATAACCTGAAGATTCCTGAAGGTCCCTGGAGGTCTCTGAAGACCCGCGGCGAAATGCGCCAAAAGCGTAAGAAACACACACACACACACACACACACGCCAAACATAACGAAAATGCGGTCCTCGATTACATCCTCCTCCTCCCCCTCCTCCTCCTCCTCATCCTCCTCCTCCTCCTCCTCCTCCTCCTCCTCCTCCTCCTCCTCCTCCTCCTCCTCCTCCTCCCTGCTCTCACCTCCTCCCTCCTCCACGTCCTCTCTCCTCCCCTCCTCCTCCTCCTCCTCCTCCGCCTCCTCCTCCTCCTCCTCCTCCTCCTCCTCCGCCTCCTCCGCCTCCGCCTCCTCCTCCTCCTCCTCTTCCTCCTCCTCCTTCCTCCTCCGCCTCATCCTCCTCCTTCTTCCCTTTTCGGGCTCCGTCACGCTCTGCAGCCCCTTCAGCTTCTCGGCAAGGGCGGTGAAGAAGGCCTCGCGGCCCACCTGCGGCGGTCCCACGCAGAGCGTGTCGATGCCGCCGTCGGGGCGGACCACGCCGAGTCTGTTGCGCGCGCGAGCGCGCGTCGTCGTCGTCGTCGCCGCCGCCGCCGCCGCCAGAGGAGGAGGAGGAGGAGGAGGAGGAGGAGGAGAAGAAGGAGGAGGCGGAGGAGGACGAGAAGCAGTGTAGGATGGAGGGAGAGGCTGGAGGATAGAAGAGGAGGGGAGGGGAGGGAGGAGAGGAGGAGGAGGAGGAGGAGGAGGAGGAAGAGTAGGAGAAGGAGGAGCAAGAGGAGGGAGGGCAGGGGAGGGGAGGAGGAGGAGGAGGTGGGGGAGAAGGAGGAGGAGGAGGAGGAGGAGGAGGAGGAGGAGGAGGCGGAGGAGAGGAAAAGTGAGAAGGAGAGAGGACTGAGGAGGGAGGAGGGTGAGGAGGAGCGAGGAAGAGGAGGAGGAGGAGCAGGAGGAGGAGGGGGAGCAGCAGGAGCAGGAGGAGAAGGAGAAGGAGGAGGAAGAGGAGGAGGAGGAGGAGGAGGAGAAGCAGCAGCAGGAGAAGAGGAAGAGGACGCGGGGGGGCAGAAGGAAGAAACGTAGGAGGAGAAGGAGGGGAAGAGGAGGGAGAAAGAGGGAAGAGGACGAGGACCGAAGCCCCACCATCACTTTGCACTCGTGCTTGACAGGGGCGGCGGGGGAGCCCGCAGATTGCCTGCTGTGTGCAATGCCCCCCCCAGCCCTTCCAACAGAAAATACAAAGTGCTTTTTTCACCAACATCTGGATGACGCGCGGACTCCTCGCGATCAAGTCGCACTGGCTGCTGACAGGGACGGCGGGGGGGGGGGCGCAGATTGCCTGCCGTGCACGATGCCAACACCCAAAAGCCATACAAAGCGTAGTGTGTAGCAAGATCTGGGTCATGCGCGGACGCCCCGCAATCAGTGCGCCTTGGTGTTTGATCAGGGACGGTGGGGGGGGCCGGCATATTGCCTGCTTTGGGCAGGCCAAAACTCACGTTGCCAACGACGGCAGGGGCGGCATACTGGCTGCTGTGTGCAGGCCCACCTCCCCTGTCGAAAACCAGTGCAAAGTGATTGCGTGTGCGCACCCACACACAATATAAAATGCTCGTGCAGCCTTTACTTTGCACAGGTTTTTGACAAGGGTAAGTGGGAGGGGCCGACATGTTGCTCAGTGTGGCGCACCAGGTGTGCACGAAGCACGTGCCATGTGCGGCGCACCTCGCGGGGTTCGCGCACCTGGTTGGCGTGTGCATTGGTGCCTGCTGGTCGTCAATGGCGGCCACGCCTATGCTGAGACTCGGGTGCTAGCTATGTCGTGGGAGGGCGGGTGGGAGTGAGCGAAGCAGCTTGAGGCACTCTCGCGGGAGGCGGCTCCAAGGAAAAAAGCGATGTGTGAATTGGTGCTGGCGCTTCGGGACCTGACCCAGCCTTCTCGATGCAGTTGTGCTCAGCGCCAGGTTTCCGACGGGACTCGTGAACTCAGTGGGATCGGGGCGGGGCCCCAGGTTCGGATCCTGCCTGTGTGTTGGGGGGGCGTGGGACTGAGCGGCGCGGCCTGCGGCTTAGGGGTGGCTTGACCAAGGCCCCTCGATGATATACGCCCCCCCACCCGACCGGCAACAAGCCAGGGACGATGCAGAGCGCAAGCCGTGGCAAGCAACTGGGTCACGTCGGCGAAGCCACGAGCACTCCGTCTGCTTTGCTGGAAGCCGGCGGGGGTGCCAGCAGGTGGCCTCTGGTGTGCCCAGGGCCACCGTCGCTGTCCAAAAAATACACACTGCACTGCGCGGCACAACGTCTGGACCATGCGTGGGCACCCCCGCGATCACTGCGCACGGTGTTTGACAGGGGCGGCGGGGGTGCTGTCGCAGTGCCTGCTGCGCACGGGCCCACCAGACATCGTGATGGCCGCTCCGCCGCGATGTGGCACTGGTCTTCTCACAGGGATGGTGGGGCCGACATGTCTCCCGATGTGCGCGGCCGCACCTGGCACACTCTGCGCGTGCCCCGAACGTGGCGCACCTGGCGCGGCTGGAGCCTGCGGCTTAAAAGCCAGCGGGCGCAAAACTGCGGAAGCGGTCAGGCGCCGGTCGGGCCAAAGGCGAGGCGCGAAAGCGAATTGGGGCACGACGGAAAGGGAGGTGCGGAGAAGAGAAGCACGGCGCATGTGGAGGACGTGGCGCATCTGGCGTGCCTGGCACGCTTGGGTCCCAGGAGCGTTTGGCCTGCCTGGTGCGCGTGGCGCGACTGGCACGCGTGGCGCACCTCGCCCCAGCGTCGCGCACACCTGGGTTTCTGTGTTGGCTCCTCGCAGCTGCCCGCCCAAACACAACCGCTGAATATGCTCAGACGCGGGTACTACTCATGTGTTGGGAAGGAGGGTGAGAGTGGGGGCCATAGAGTTTACGCTTGGGAGAGGTGCCTTGACCCCTGCCCCCCATCCCCTCCCATGGGGACGGGTTAGAGCGTCAAAGACTTTCCAAGATGGCTCCAAGAGGGCCCCATATGCTGTAAGATGGTCTCCATTACAAGACCACCCATGCTACTTCACGATGGCTTGAGATAACCTCCGACACAGCCCCAAGAAGTCCCCAGACCACCCCAAGACGGTTCCAAGTGCCCTCCGAGCCTTCCAAAGCGCCGCCCAAAGGGGCCAACATCCTTCGAAAACCGAATGGAAGTCAACGCGTGTTGCCTTCTCGCCTGTCCGTTTCCGATTCGCTTTTGAAGCCTCAAGGTGACCCTAAGATGGCCCACCAGAGCCTCAAGGAGGGCCTCAAGAGGGCACGAAGGCCGCCCCAGGAACGTCCAAGAGCGCCCCAGCAGCGCCCCAAGAGGGCCTCGAGACGCCATCGTTCGGCCTAAGACAGGGGGGGAGGGGGGCTGAATCAAAGCGTTCCTCGCCTGTGGGCTACTATGAGGCCCAAGGCTGCCCCAGGGGGCCCCCAGACCCCCCCGAAGACCGAAGAGCCCCAAGAGGGAACCGAGACCCCCCAGAAGAGCCTCACGAGGGCCCATAAGAGGCTCCACGGGGACCCCAGAAGGACCCAAAGATGGCGCAAGAGTCCTCCGCGCCTGTTCCACGAAGACTGTTCCACCGCGCGTTTTTACACTTCCCTCATTAGGGCAACTCCACTGGCGATCGTTTCTGGATGGGCTGGCGGGGAGACGCGAAACGCCAGGAATGTACTATCGTTGCGGGAAGTGCCGCACTGAAGACAACCGTCGGAGAAGCCTCAGTCGTGCCAAAATCTTGGAAAACCAACGCAGCGTCTTCTACGCGACTGCTGCGTCCTGACAGCCCTAAATCGCGCCAGCACGCCAGCCCTGGGACTTCAACACCGCGAATCAACGTGACTGCTGCGCGCTGACAATCCTGACTCTTGCCAGAACGCCGCTCCTAGTGGGGCTTCACCGATGCGAACCCTTTAATCAGGCTGCAAACATGTAAGCCTAAAGCGCGCGGCGTTATAACGAGAGCCACCGTAAGCGCCCACCATCCGCGAAACTGCTGCAGACTTCCCAGACAAGCGTGCGTGGCGCTCGGGCGAGAACTGCGTGCTGAGAACCAGCCGCCCTCCATCGTTGAAACGATGGCGCACTTCTGAACAGAAAGTGCGCGGCGACAAGGCCAGGGCCACATTCTGGAACAAACCAGTCGCCGTCCATCCTTAGCACTGCTGCAGCGAAGCGAAACGCCCTGCCCACCCTGCCGACATGTTTGGGGGTGCGGCAGGGAGGATTTAAGTGTAAGAACAAAGAATGGCGGAGGAGAGAGAGGAGGAGAGAGAGGGAGGAGGAGGAGGAGGAGGAGGAGGAGGAGGAGGAGGAGGAAGAGGAGGAAGAAGAAGAGATGCACGAGAAGGAAGAGGGGAGGAGGGAGGACGAGGGGCGAACAGGAGGAGGAGGAGGAACAGGAGGAGGAACAGGAGGAGGAACGGAACAGGAGGAGGAACAGGAGGAGGAGGCGGAAATGAGGAGGAGCAGGAGGAGCAGGAGAAGAAGAGCCACGTCGAGCCTGTAGGAGCCCACTGTCACCAGCTTCGTGGATCGCCTCGCCTCCTCGCGCGCCGGCTCCCCCGCGCGCGGGTGGAGGAATGGGAGCAACGAGTGAGGAGCGGGGAGCGAGGAGCGAGGAGCGGGAGGAGAAGATTGAGGAGGAGGAGGAGGAGGAAAGACGGGTGGAAGAAGGAGGGAGAGGGCGGAGGGGAAGGAGAACGGGGGAGGAGAAGGGGGGAGGAGAGGGGGCAGGAGGAGGGGCGAGGAGGGGGGCGGCGGAGCGCGTGCGGGGGCCCGCGGATCCTCCCGCGCCAGGCCCGCGTCCGCCGCGGCCCGCGCCATCCACGAGGTCACCTCCCGCTCCAGCTCGCGCAGCACGGCCTCCCGGTGGGCCATGCCCTCGGGGCTCTCCCGGGGGAACTCCCCCTCGAGCTCCTCGCCGCGGCGGGCCGCCGAGGCGAGGATCGGGCGGGCCCCCCGCGGCAGCCCGCGGGGCCCCCTCCGGGGGGGGCGCCCCCGCGGCCGCGGGGGCGGCCCCGGAGAGCTGGCCGGGGCGGAGCCGAGCCGCGCCCGGTCCTGGAGGCGCGGGGGGGGGGGGCCAGACCCGAGCGCGCAAGGCGCCACTGTCTCCTCACGCTCGGCGGTCGTCGTCGGCGTCGGCGTCGGCGTCGGCGTCGGCGTCGGCGTCGGCGTCGTCGTTCTCGTCGTCGGCGTCGTCGTCGTCGTCGGCGTCGTCGTTTTCAACGCCGTCGTCGTCGTCGTCGCCGCCGCCAACGTGGGCCGAGGGGAAGCCGCGCCACGAGGTTCGGAGGATGCCGAAGGTGCTTGTGGCCCAAGGTGCCCCGAGCCCTTCGCTTCATCTTGGAGCCCCTTATAGGGGCCCCTGGACCTCGTGAGGGGTGCTAAAGAGGCCGTGGGCGCCTTCATGGAAATCCTGGCGCGGGGGTACCTTGGGCTAGGGGCACTTCTGGCAACACCCGAGAAGTGAGGCATCACCACGTCTTCAGCCGGAGAGGCCCCAAGAAGGCCACAAGACGGCCCAAGAGGTCCCCAAGACGCCCGAGGCGGATCCGGCCACCCGAGGCAACGAGAAGCCTCTAAAGGCCTGCTAGATGGGGCCCGATGGGGTTGGAGAATCGCGACGCATCGCCGATGCATCGCCGATGCATCGACGATGCATCGCCGACGTCGGCGATGCAGCGGGGCCGTCGGCGCGGAGAAAATCGGGCTCCATCTCGCGTCGCATCGCCGATGCATCGGCGATGCGCCGCGATCCTCCGACCCCATCTACTCCGACCCCATCTAGGAGGCCTAGAGCGTCCCAGGAGACCAAGCAAGGGGCAGCAGCAAGAGCAAAAAGCCAGGGAGGGGGGGGAGGGGAGGCCGCCGCGCTGTCTCGGCCGGCCCTCCTCCGAGTCCCAGAGAAGGCCAGCCCCCTCGCTGGCCACCCGCCCCCTCTGGCGCGCTCACCGTCCTCCATCATCTTCTCGCTCTGGACGATGTCCGCCTCGCGGGGAGGAGGAGGAGGAGGAGGAGGAGGAGGAGGAGGAGGAGGAGGAGGAGGAGGAGGAGGAGGAGGAGGAGGAGGCCGCCGCCGCCCGGGGGGGGCACGAGGCGGGCGGCCAATCCAGACCTCGCAGGACGTCGGCGCACCCTTTTTGCACCAAAGGCGACGCGCCGAAGCCGCCGAGGCCAGGAAAGCCATCCGTCTCCCACCTGCAAGAGGGGACGCGGGGGAGCGTGAAGCTCTGAACCGCTTGCCGCTTGGGGGGGGAGTGGTCAGGGCTGGAAAAGCAGGCATGGGCCAGCCTCCTCAGGCCCCCCTGCAGCAGCGGCAGCGGGAACCGGACCGAGAGCCTCTGTGGGCCGCTGCCCATCGCTGGGTGGGTGATCCGCGGTTTCGTTCACACCCCGATCGCACCGCGTTCGCAGTGGCGGAGAGGGGAGGGAGAGGACACTAGGGAGGAAGAGGAGGAGGAGGAGGACGAAGAGAAGGATTTGTCGAACTCCTCAGATGAAATGCCGCACGTGTCAGCTGCAGAGGAGGAGGGGGAAGGAGGAGGCGGAGGAGGAGGAGGAGGAGGAGGAGGAGGAGGAAGATGAAGGGAAGGGGAAGAGGAAGCGGAAGCGGAAGAGGAAGAGGAGGAGGAATATTGGGTGAGGAGGATGAGGAGGCGAAGGAGGAGGAGGAGGAGGATCTTGTGAGAAAGAACGACGACGACGACGACGACGACGACGACGACGACGACGAGGTGTGTCGGCGGACGCTCGAGCGGCGGCCACGCAGCGACCGCTTCGTGCTGACAGGGCGCCACAACCAGGGACGAGCGCGGCACAAGGCAAAGGAAGCGGAGGAAATGAAAGGAAGGAGGAGGAGGAGGAGGAGGAGGAGGGAGGAGAGAGGAGGGAGGGGAGAAAGAAGAAGGAGGAGGAGGAGGAGGAGGAGGAGGAGGAGGGAGGGAGAGGAGGAACGGGGAGGAAGAAGAGGAGGAGGAGGAGCAGGAGGAGGAGGAGGACGAGGAGGAGGAGGAGGAAGAGGAGGAGGAGAGAGGAGGAGGAGGAGGAGGAGGAGGAGGAGGAGGAGGGGCTCAGGGGGATAGACTCGTTGGTTGGAGGTCCTCAAACGTTTCCGCTGGTTCTCGGCTGTGTTGCAGCCCCTGGATGCCTTCCAGCGACTGCGTCTCGCTGAAAGCGTTCTGAGGGTGCCCGGATCGTCCCGAACGGCCGCCAGAGGCCAGAGTTATGATCCGAAAATCACCAGGGGATAGGGGGATAAGGAGGAGGAGTGGAGGAGGATGAGGAAAGAAAGAGTAGGTGGAGGAGGAAAAAGAGGAAAAGAGATGGGGGGGAGAACAGAAGGCGATCAGGACGGAGGGGGGAGCAGACGAGGAGCAGGCAATGAGGACGGAGGAAGCGGCGGAGCAGGAGGAAGGACAAAGAAGAAAAGGGGCGAGGGAGAGAAAGACGAGAAAGAGGGGGAGGAGGGAGGAGGGGGAGGAAGAGAAGGAAGAGGACGAACGAGCGAGCGAGCGAGCGCTGGATCCGCGAGTGAGCGAGCGGTGGAGGCTGTAGCCCCTCGATACGGAAAATAACAGTTCAGTGCTGTGAGACGTAGGCGGTTTCATGTCTTCTCCACCATTCAGTATGTGATGCAGCTCAGGTCCACCGCAGAGATCGCTGGTGCTGTTGTGCTCCTGCTGTCGGCGAACGACCGCTGCCAACATGTCTACCTGTCCATCGTCGTCGTCACAACAGATTCCTCTCAAAGTATGTAAGAGTTTCCGGACGTCATCTTCACAGCCATTCTGGTGACCACCATGCCGCCGTCGCGCGTGTTGCCGAGTGTCGGTGCTCGGATTGCATCAGAATGCTCACTGCGTCCACCGCGTCGTGGGGTAGTTCGCCACAGTGACTGCCCGTCGCCAAACCATCCGACGTTGTATGTGTAGCACTTGGCGGCGCGCAGAAGGGGGTGGGGGGAGGGGGGAGGGGGGAGGGCTTCTTAGAAAGCAGGCGCTTCTCAGAGGGCGCCGGCCTTACATCTATAGACAAGGCCCGCGCCTCTAAGCAGGGTGCTTCTAAGAAGCCCTCCCCCCTCCCCCCCCACCCCCCCCTGCGCGTGGCTGAAGCACGTCGACTATACAGCCGGACCTAGGCCAGAAGAACATCCCTCAAGACCAAGAATGAAGGGGAACTGGGACACACAAATATATACACACAAATAAACCTATCCCCCATATTTTCCCATATTTTCTGGGTTTTTGTCTTCCCCCTCACTTCCCATATTTTCCCATATTTTCCTGGGAATCGAGGATTAATTGTGTCTGTGTGTTTTTTTCCCTCCTGAGAAACTCTCCGCTGGACAGCACAAACATCCAGCAAGCACGAAGAGAACACCAGGGCGCCCTCCCCGAACCGACCTCGCTCTTCTACCCCGGTCCGACTGCAGCCCCCAGCTCGAGCCGAGAGTGATCCTGGGATCCCCAGGGCCTCGAGGGGGGCGCCTCTACACCTCCTCCTCCTCCTCCTCCTCCTCCTCCTCCTCCTCCTCCTCCTCCTCCTCCTCGTCCTCCTCCTCCTCCTCCTCCTCCTCCTCCTCCTCCTCCTCCTCCTCCTCCTCCTCCTCCTCCCACCGGCTGCACACAGCCCGGCTGCCGCGCCGCGCTCGGCGCGGCTGCGTGTGGCGCACGCGGGGGGGATTCGGGATCCGACGATCGCAGCAGCCGCGACGATCACGAGGACGACGAGTGAGAGCTCTTCCGCGTTGACGGCGCCCAGGACAACACCGACGGCGGTGCGCGAGCCGCCACCGGGGGGGGGGGGCAGCGAGGGGAAGGAAGACGAGGTTTCCCTGGGTGCAGATGGCCCAGGCCTCCTCCAAGGGGTGCAGCGTGCACGGTGGGGACGAGTGGCGTGGGGGCCAGTGCACCCGCCTGGGACCAGTGCGACCAGGAAACCCTCCAGACACCTCCGAGGGATCCCCTGGAGACCCCAGAAGCGGCCCAACTGTGGCCACCACGGCACCCGTAAGAGGTAGCGACAATCTGTCGGGCCTGCAGGCTCAACACGCGGCGTCGCCTGGGATGCTGTCTGGATCCGGGGTGGTCCTCCAAGGTCGCCTCGTGGAGAGGGCGGCACCAACGACACTCGCTACACAGTTCCGTGCGACCACCCATCGCACACCTCCTTCGGGCGCGGCCGTGCCTGCCGCCAACTCTGACCTGGCACGCTTGACGGTCCCTTACAGGTCAGAGCCCGTCCCCCCTGGGGGCGGCCTCAGCCAGGACGGACCTGGCGGTGCGCGAACGGCCTGCGCGGCAACTGACGGGGGAAGCCACGAGCAGGAGTGCCTCTCCCGGAGGGGGGTGGCCCCGAGCCTTCGCCCGTGGGCGCAGTGCACACGGACGGCGAGCACGGCCCGGGGGCCACCGCACACCATCCTGGGCTCACGGGCGATCGGGAGCCCCGTCGGATGCCCCAGCAGCCCCCCATGGGAAGCCTGGGCACACCCCTGGGTCGCACCATGGCGCCTCACGCTGGGTGGAGCCAACATGCCAGGCCTTCGAGCTCGGGATGTGACCTCGCCCAGAGCGTCGCCGGACCTCGGGGTGGCGCTCCAACGTTGCCCCGCAGGAATGGCAACGCCCGCGGCGCTGATCTTACAGCTCCCCGCGACGATCACAGTCGCAGTGCTGGCGCCGCCGTGGCCGCGAGCGCCAAGCGTTCTGACACGCTGGGCGGACCTCCCGACCCTGGGCCGCTCCCTGCAAGGGATGGCCCCGGGGAGGGCGGGCCCTCCAGGGACCAGCCTCGCCCGCGAGAAAATCAGCCCCGACCGGGACCACCGCGAGGGCACTCGCCCCTGGACCGGCGCGAGCGGACTCGGGATGCTCAGGGCTGGCCCCTCTCGCGGCCCTCTGCCTGGCGCTCGGCAGGCGCGCGTCGCCCGACGCTGGGCGCAGCCCCGACGGCGTCCTGCGCTGTGCACTCGCCTGGCCCCGACTTCCCTGGGCGCCTGCCCCAGGGTGGGCACCCTCGGGGTCACGCCACGAACGCCCGGCGGTGCTCTGCTGGGTGTCCGTCCTCCAAGGTGGACGCCCATGCCGACTGGACAGCGCACTGATCAGGCCCTCCCCATGATGCGCGCGCCGCCCTCAAAGGTGACTCGCCCGCCATCATCCTCCTGCTCAGGGGGGCATGCCCCCGCGCGCCCGTGCACCGACCAGGTGTTTCCTCCCGCGTGCTGCCCCCACAGGGTGGCACGGCCTCCCTCCCTCTCCCCTTGTCGCGACCTGGCTGGAGCGTCCACCCCCGAAGGTAGATTCTCTCGTTCGCTCCCTGGCTGGAGCGCCCACCCCCCCGATTTTTTTTTCCACATGGAACGCCAGGTCTGTTAGACAGAACTATTGACAGCTGGGTCTGGATCGCGGCCATGCTCGGTTAATAAATCCTCTGGTGCGCTGTGGGCTGTGGTACGGATCGCAACGAAAGCAGCCGAGCATACCTAACAAATTATAGAATGCGTAATTCAAAGAAGAAGAGTTGACTATGTGCCCGAAGGCGAGGTGGGTGCACACTGCAAAAGTATGCGCACCGATCCGGTGCGACAATGCAGGCGACGTCCGGGAGGCGTCCGGGCGGCGCTCCCGGGCAGCTGCTGGAGCGTCCTGCCGTTCGCGACGGTGCCAATCCGCCGGCCTTCGCGCTGCCCGCCGGCTGCGCGACGCGCAGCAGCCCCCCCCCCCCCCCGCGGCTCTCGCCTGGGCGCCTGCCCCACTGCTCTCTGACTAATTACCTCCCAGACCACCCCAACCCAACCCGAAGACCCGAATTTCGGGTTGGGGGGGGGGTAAGGGTTCCACATGTGTTTTTTCGACGTTTCCCGACCCCCCCCCCCACTGGAAATCGAGGGTAAATCTGAGCCTTCGGGTTGGGTTGGGGTGGTTTGGTGGGTGGTGACTCTCTTGCAGAAGGTAAAACAGGGCTAGGATCGGGATAAATCGCTCCAGAGCCTTCCGGAGCGCTCTCAGAGCGTTCCGGAACGCTCTGGAGCGGCCGCGGCGCCCAAAGCATCCTCCAAACCCGCCGATTCTCAGAGATTTCGAGTTACACCCTGCGAAATGCTTAAGAAATCATGGGTTAAGAAATTCATAGTCTCAGAACTTGAATAAAACCCAGAACTTCTATCAAAATCTTGGGATTTACATTGAAAAGTTAAGAATAATCGAGACTCTGGACGAAAACTTAAGTTTTCTTAAGCATCGCCTAAGGTGTATCCCGATCCGATTTTGTCCCGATCTTCGCGTCGTTTTCGCAGGGCGCCCCTGCCTGGCCGGCCCCGTGGCCGGGCGCCCCGGCCTCGTCCGGCTGCGATGCATGCGTGCACCGGCCGGGCCGGCGGCCCCTCCCCTTCCAGCTGCTCCTGCCGTCCCCCGCCGCCTGGGCCGACCAGTTGCTCAGCAGCTCAGCAGCCCGTGGGCTCAGCATGGCAGCATCCTGCTGCAGCACGCGGTTCGCAGCCCCAGCTCCCGCCACGGACGCTCCGGCCGTGTCTGCATCCTGCTGGCGCCGCGTTTGTCGCAGCAAAGCCTGACGCTCACGGCTTCGTGACGGGCTCTTGGATGCTCCCACTGTCGCCGCCGTGGACCAGCGTGCCGCTCCTCCTCCTGACGTACTGGGTCGACTTACTCCGCTGGCAGCCTTGGCTTCAGCCCCTGGGTGTGGTCGCGAGGCCGCTCCGCGCCCATCCAGCACAGGCTGGCCGCTCCGGCCGCTCATCCTGGAACTCTTTCCGCGGTGAGTGCCCCCCTTCCCCGCCTGGTTTCTGCGGCCGCCTTCTTCCCCCTTCCCCTCTTCTGCTGCCTGTGGATGAATACGCCGCGTAAGCCCGGCTACTACTAGAGCGCGCGAGCGGATCGCCTCTGCCGCGCTGCGACGTAAACAGGGTATAGCAGGTCGGACATGTCGCGCTTTATCACCACTGCTTCTGCAATATGTTTGCTCCTCTGGATGTAGTCGGACCATGGCTCAAAATCGCCGTCTGGTCGAGCGTCTGTCCGTGTCGTTGCCTTGCCGTCGTTGTCTTGGAGGTCGTGGTGGCCAGTCGGTGGATTACCGCAGTCGTCGGATCCGCTGGTGTCGTTCGTCGCACTGTGGACAGTGACGTGTCCATTGTTTCAATGTCTCTGGGTTACGGCGCGGAGAAGGTGAGGCTGTCTTGCGCCGACGTGGCGTTCCGATTCTCATTATGACCATTCGCGGTTGTGTTCGGCGCAGCTGCTGTTTACGGGGCTTGTTTGTCTGAATCCAAAGTTTGGCGCCATACGTCGTTGTAGGTACTACGGCTCCCCTGCATAATCGTAGCTGGTGGCTCAATGGATATGTTACATGTTTGCTGGTGAGCTCTTGTATATGGCTACTGAAGTATGCCCTATCAGCTCGGTCGCAGCGGCATCGTGAAATGTGAAGACCTGTCCAAGGTATGCGATGGTGCTAGTGTATGGTAAAGAACGTCGATGTCCATGTTTGCTGCTCTGACCGCGCGCGCGCAGTGCTGTGGCTGGTCGGTCTTGATGTCGGTCTTGGTCGAGAGCAGTTCCAGACCTCGTGGCGTGACTGAGGCGACAGACAGGGTCGGAGAGCATGGCCTTCAGGATGATGATGAGGAGGAGGAGGAGGAGGAGAAGGAGGAGGAGGAGGAGGGGGGCAGAGGGCGAGAAGGAGGAAGGGGGACGGAGGAGGAGGAGGAGGAGGAGGAGGAGGAGGGAAGAGGGAGGAGGGAGGTGACGACGACGACGACGACGACGACGACGACGACGACGACGACGACGACGACGACGACGACGACGACGATAATGACGAGGAGGGGGGGCGGGAGGGGCGGGAGGGGCGGGAGGGCCGGGCGGGCCGGGACGGGCCGAGGGCCCCGCCTCCGTGGGCTCCTGCTCGTTGCTCGGCAGCGTGATCCCGAGCCGGACCGCGGGCGGCGCCCTGGCCGGCGTCACACGCGGGGACGACGCCGGGGGCCTCGCTGGGCGGCCTCCTCTCCTCCTCCTCCTCCTCCCTCCTCCTCCTCCACCCCTCCTCCCTCTCTCCTCCTCCTCCTCCTCCTCCTCCTCCTCTCCTCCTCCTCCTCCTCCTCCTCCTCCTCCTCCTCCTCCTCCTCCTCCTCCTCCTCCTGCCCGCGGCGGCGGCGCTCGCCGGCAGGCGACCGAGGGCCCCCAAAAAAGCAGAGCGAGGGGCCTGAGGAGTGGGCACGGGCCACAGAGAGCACGGAGGGTGCGCAGCGGGGCGGCGGCCAGAGGCCGGGCGAGGCGCCTCGGAGGCCGTCTTGGGCGTCTGGGAGGCCCCTTGGTGGCCGTCTCTGCGGCCTCTCGTGGCCGTCTTGGCGACCGCTCGGGCCGTCGGTGGGGCGATCTTTGAGGGCCGCCGTGGGCCGTCGTGGGCATTCGGGAGGCCGAGAGGGAGCAGAGGCCGAGTGGGTGGCCGAGAGGGCGCGGCGGCGCGGCGGCCTAGCCCAGCCGATGCGACCGAGCGCAGCCGGCTGCAAGGGCGCGGGTCCTGACCCCGAGATGGCTCCTTGCTCCTTGGAGGCGCGCGTCCGACCCGAACACATGGTACACCCATCTTGTAGTATATCGTTTCCCGAGCGGTGTGGCCAGAAAGCGCCTGCCACGACGCATATAATATAAGATTTCTCGGTGCGCGCGTCGCCCCTGGGGGGGCGACGCACATACAGCATAAGTGTGTAGGGGTGACGCCGACCAAAAATCCTGGCATCTCAATTCTTCCGAGCCGGGCGCTTTCGCGTGGTTTCGGCTGGCCGTGATTGTGTACGATGTCCGTGATTATGTACGATGTCTCAATTTTTCCGCGCCGTTGGATCTCAGGAGTGGGAGACAGGCCGTGGGCCCCATTGGGGGTTACTCGGCGTGTGAGATACGTGCCCGTCCCCAGGCACCTCCTCCAGGATCTCGGCCCTTTGGAGGGGTCCGCCCGGATTCCACAGGACTCCGCCAGATTCCGCCGGCGCGGTCATTTGCTTCAGAAGCGTCCCCAGGCGACCTCAGACGCACTCGACATTGCCCCAGACGCCCCACGATGGCCTGAACACAGCCGAAGAAGCTCCCAAGGCACCCCCAGAGGGCCTCAAGAGGACTCCTAAGGGGGCCATTAGAATACCAAATCGCCACCACCCCTGAGGACAACGCAGATTTTTAGCATTTGCACCTCTTTGGTCTCCAACGCGTCCACGAGGGCCCGCGAGGCCCACAAGATCGCTTCAAGACGGCCTAAGAGGCAAGAGGCCCTCCAAAAGGCCCCCAGACGACCAAGATGGCTTCAAAGAGGCCCTCAAAACGGCCTCCGAAAGCGCCAGGCTGCTCAAGAGCACCCGAAGACCGAAGACGACAAGACGCCCCCACGAGGCCCCAAGAGGCTTCCAAAAAGCACCCAAGAGGTTCCAAGATGCCCCGAAGACTCCCTGGAGCCCCAAAACGTCCATGCTCTGCGGGCTCCTGACGTGCACCCCACGAAGCGTCCAAAGAGGCCGTGACCTTCACGACGCCTCCACGTGCGTGACGTTGTTCTCCTTCACCTGCCACCGTGCCTTCAGCACGTAGCGGAGTGCCCCAAGGCCCATGCAGCTCTGGGAGGTAGAAGGATTCCAGACTTCTTTTAAGGGCCCGAAACGCCGATGTCTCGGGCGCTTCTGGGCGCTACTGTGTTCCGCGTGGGCCTCCAGGACGTCAGCCCCGCCCAAGAGGGCCCCAAAAGCAGGCCTGGATGGCCCCAAGAGGCTCCCAAAACGGTCCAAGATGGCCTGAAGACGGCTCAAGGGTCTCCTTAGACTCCCTAAAAGGGCTCCAAGAAGCCCTCCAAGAGGGCCCCGAGATGCCAAAATCATTGCTTGTCCCTCGGTTGTTGAAAGATTCTAGTGTTTTCGCCTTTCGAACTTTCGACGCTCCAAGACAGCCCAAGAGGCTCTCAAGATCGCCCCCGGGCGACCCAAGAGGCTCCCAAGAGCGCCCCCAGACGGCCCAAGATGGCCCCAAGACGGCCCAGGTGGCCCCCCCAAACAGCCCAAATAGGAGCCGAAATAGGGCCCCCAGAGGGGCCCAAAAAAGGCCACAAAGATGGAATGCGAACCGACGTTTCAAGCCTACCGCCCCAAAGATGGCCCCCGAGACCGCCAGCAGGCCGCCGAAAGGCCCCCCACGAATGGAAGTTGTTTCCGAGACGCCTCCCAAGAGATCCCCACAGGCATTCCAGAGGCCTCTGACCTACAACCCAGGCACGGTGGTGGCGGGATGGGCCGAAGGAACCTCAGACGACCGTGTTCTCGTCTCCGACCAGCCATAACTGGGGGAGCTGTGGTCCTTACCCCCCTGGGGGAACCCATCGCATCGACGATCTCTCGAGAGAGGTGTCGAAATCGATGGGCCCCCCAGGGGGGTAAGGACCACAACTCCCCCAGTTGTGGCTGGCCTGCTCCTTGAGCTTCCAAGAAGCAGTCCGCACGTGAAGACCCTGCTGAAATAGGACCCCGGGGTCGGCGGTGCGGCGCCAGCCTGTGAATCAGCATGGAACCACGCGGCGGAGCAGCCGACCGCGCCGAACCGACCGAGCGCAGCCGGCTCGGAGACGGCCTCACCGACCGAGCGCCGCCGACTGCGCAGCGGCCGAGCCGAGCCGAGCCGAAGCGATCCGACCGCGGGGCGACCGAACCGAACCGAACGCGGGGGCGGGCCTCGGGGCCCGAGGCGGCGACGCCTCCGGGCCAGCCGCGGCCATCGCGCCCCGACGCCTCGGGCTCGGCCGCCGGACGGCACCAGGGGACGGCGAGGCATCCTGAAGCCAGGGGCGAAGAGGGAAGAGGGATGAGGACGAGGAGGAGGAGGAGGAGGAGGAGGAGGAGGAGGAGGTGGAGGAGGAGGAGGAGGAGGAGGCGGAGGAGGGGGAGGGGGAGGGGCGGGAAGGAGGGCAGAGGGAGGGGGGAGGATGAGGAGGGAGGAGGGGAGAGGGGAGGAGGGCGGGAAAGAGGGGAGGCGAGGGAAGCAGGGGGAGGAGGGGAGGAGAGACAAAGGGAGGAGGAGGAGGAGGAGGAGGAGGAGGAGGAGGAGGAGGAGGAAGTGGGGGAACAGGAGGAGCAGAGGGCGGGAGGACGAGGAGGAGGAGGGGGAGGAGAAGGGGAGGGAAAAGGAGGAGAGGGGGGAAGAGGAGGTGTGCAGGAGCGCAGGCATCGCAACGCCGTCCGACGGGGACGAACAGCGCGCGGGGCACCCTCGACCGAGGGCGAGAAGGAGACGCCCAAGGTGAACGCCAGCAAGCCCGTCAGGTCGAGCACCAGCAGGCTCGTGGAGTCGACGCAGCAGCGCTGGAGCGGACACCGCACTGCGCTGCGCCCTGATGCCGGGCGTTTCGAAGCCGCTGGCCCGCGCCCTCCACGACGAAGCTGCCCCCGTCTTGGGGTGCCTGCCCGCCTGCGGCCTCTTGAGCCGCGGGCGCTGGCTGGACAAGTATGATGAAGGGGCCCAGGGGCACAAAAATAGATGCACACAGATAACAGGATCCCCCCTGTTTTCCCATATTTTCTGGGTCTTGTCTTCCCCCCCACTTCCCATGTGTTCCCCTATCTTCTGGGGAAGCGACGATGAATTGTGTCGGTGTGTCTTTTGTCCCTCCGGAAAGCAGGTGCGCTCGTGAAGGCTCTCGGCCGTTGGCCGCCCGAGGCGCGGCGCACGCAGGGCGCGGGACGTGCCGGCGCCGGGCCAGGCCACGCACACCTCGCAGAAAAGAGCGTCGGCCCCGCGCAGACCGGCAGCCCCTCCGGCGACAGCTGGACGATCGCCCAGCCGCAGCGGCGCACCTTGGGGGAACTTGCGGCGAAGCCCGACCCGTCCGCGAAGACCAGGTTGCCGAGGGGGTGGGGGTCTGGCTCCGGACATCTGCTCGGTGCGACTGTTTGGGACCGTGCGTCCTAGGGGGGAGACTCCACCTGCTCGGAGCAGGCGCAACAGAACAGCCGAGATCTACTCCACGGGGGGGAGGAGGAGGAGGAGGAGGAGGAGGAGGAGGAGGAGGAGGAGGAGGAGGAGGAGGAGGAGGAGGAGGAGGAGGAGGAGGAGCTGGAGGAGGAGGAGGAGGAGGAGGAGAAGGAGGAGGAGGGAGGAGGAGGAGGAGGAGGAGGGAGGAGGAGGAGGAGGAGAGGAGGAGGAGGAGGAGGAGGCTGTCGCCTAACGGGTGCGTCCGACCAGCCACCCCAAAAGGGTACGGGCGCGCCCTCGCTCGCCAGCGGGGCCTGCGGCGGCAGACGTGGGAGGCACACCGAGAGCTCGACGGCAGTCCCAGCACGGCACTCCGCCATACGACCCGCAGGCCCTTGTCCCACATTTTGGACGCCCGAAATGGGTACCGAAAAAATGGGCACAATGCCCAACAGCAAATGTTGTCCCAAACCAACAGCGACCGCTGTTGGGCGGGCGGCCTCCTGTCTCGAATGGACACAGGCCGCGGCGGCGTGGACAGCGAGCCCTGTTCAAAATGAACAAGATCCGCTGTTGGGCATTGTACCCATTCTTTCCGTACCCATTTCGGGCGTCCAGACACGTGAGAGACCTGATGTCCTGGAGGCGGCCGGGCAGGACCTCGCCGCTCTCCTCGCCCAACTGGCCAGGCTCGAGGAGCACGTCGGAACCGAAGAGGAAAATGGCCCGGCGTGTCGGAGGCGCGACCGCAGGCCCAGCAGGACGGCACGGCAGCCAGCTCGACGTCAAACTCCGCCTGCCTTGTCCAGGGCAAGCCGACCAGCGGATGCGCAGGCTGGTGGCGGCAGTACCCTCTGGCACAGCAGCACGAGGTCCGCCCACACATAGGCGCACCACCCGAATCCAAAGCTGGGCCATGTCCCCGTGGGGTGCTGGAAGTGCTGGAGAATCTGGCAACCTTGCCACCGTTTGATGCCCATGGAAGAGTGGTTCCGAGAATCGGCAGGGCTGACCATCAGCAAGCTGATGTGGCGATCCTTGTCGGAGATGACAACCGTGGACGAGTACAAGCACCGCCCGATTTCGCCGCAAGGTCCACATCGCCGAGGCCATGGGGCCTCGGGTCTCAGCCCAGCTGGGTTCGTGGACAAGCCTGGCGCTGGCAGCAGCCCAGGCGTGGTGCAGACGGCTGAGCGACGTCCGATGTTCCCAGACCCAGCTGGCGTACCCCACGAGCAGGTCGCACGTGGCCGAATAGATGGGGTCGTACTCTTTGGCGCGCTGCGTGGCTAGGTAGACCGTCGCGCCCGAGGGCCCAGGCCTGGAGCCAACCAGGACCCCCGCCTGACACCCCTGCGTCGTGGGCTACGCTGGGGAGCAGGCCTGTTTTCCACACGCGCGCCACTCCTGCCGACTGCCCTCTTGAACACCAGCAGGCGCCCTCGACGCGCCACCAGCGCCCGCAGGCGAGCCGCCGTCTGGCGCCGAACCTTGCATCGCCCGCGGAGGTCGGGGCCCAAGTTCCTGACCCATTGCTTGGCCGAGAGGCCTCGCGCCGAATCTTGGCGCTTGCAGCCCTACGCGACCACCGCCGAGGACGCCCTCGCGAAACCAGGGAACGATGAGGAGGGACGAGGAGGAGGGGGGGAGGGACGGAGGAAGGGGGGGGAGGGAAGAGGCAGCAGGGAGGGGGGGACGTCGCCGGCGTCGAAGGCCTGGCGGATGTCCGCGCGCTCCGAGACTCGGCAAACTCTTAGAACTGCCAGAGGACAAGAGATGCAAGGCGAGCGGCACGCGGCTGAGAGGGGGGGGGGAGAAAGAAGTCCCACGGTGTCCTGACTAGCTCAGCAGCTCCCGCAGCCCAGGGTTGTGTCGGACCTGCTGCCGGAGCCTGGTAGCGAAAGCATTCCTTGTGGAGCTTCGGGGTCGGCGGTCACATCAGAGATGCGAGGAGGAGGAGGAGGAGGAGGAGGAGGAGGAGCGAGGAGGAGGAGGCGATGAGGAGGAGGAGGAGGAGGAGAGGAGGAGGAGGAGGAGGAGGAGGAGGAGGAGGAGGAGGAGGAGCAGGAGGAGGAGGAGGAGGAGGAGGAGGAGGAGGAGGAGGAGGAGGAGGAGGAGGAGCGGGGAAGGCCGGCCAAAGCGCTCCGAGCTCGAAGGTCGGCGAGGGCCGCTGCCCCCTGCGCCGCCGCGACACCCGCGGGCGGCCCTCGGGGCGGGGCCTCTGCGCCCCGGGGCGCCACCGAGCGGCGGCGGCGCGCCTCGCGGAGGCGCCTCGCCTCCTCCCCGCGGGCGGCAACGCGGGCTCCGCGGGCGTCGGAGAGGAGGCAAAGGGAGCTGGCGGGGGAGGGGGAGGAGGAGGAGGAGGAGGAGGAGGAGGAGGAGGAGGAGGAGGAGGAGGAGGAGGAGGAGGAGGAGGGCGGAGGAGGCGGAGGAGGAGGAGGAGGAGGAGGAGGAGGAGGAGGAGGAGGAGGAGGAGGAGGAGGAGGAGGAGGAGGAGGAGGAGGGGGGGGGAGGAGGAGGGGCGGCGAAGGACAGAACACCCAGTAAACCGCCCCGTGGGAGCCCACAAGCTGGTCCAAAATGGCTCGCTCGTCGGCAGCTTCGATGTCGACTGCAATGGCTGGCCGCCTCCTCGGCATCAGACTCCTGAAACCGAGCCTTCCCCGGATCGACACGACGACGGTCACGGGGCCGACCGAACCCCGCAAAGTCAGGCTGAAGCGCCGGGTCAGGGGGGCCATCGGACGAGAAATCCTGAACATAGAAGTCCTTGAGTTCAGCCTGCACTCGCTCCGAGTCAGGCGGCACATCGAGGTCACAATCAGCATCAGGGTAATTAACCAACGACTGAACGCATGGCAAAATCGAACTAGCCAAAGCGGCACACATGCCTGGCGGGCACACCTTCTTCGAGGTGGTGCGAAAGGCACCGGGCGAGTCCTTGCCGAGCAAGCAGGCATGAGCCCTCGGACCGTGACTGCACTTGCCCTGGCCAGGGGCGCAACGCAACGCATCGTGCAAACCAGGCACGCGACTGGAAACAGCGCACGTGGGAACGCGCCCAGCAGAAGCCGGATCGCCCTCGGGCGCCGGGCGCTCACACTGGCCAGAGACCGCGGTGGACGCGCGCGGGGCCGACGAGAGGGCCACGAGGGGGGCCACCAAAACGAGGGAGGAGCACGAAGGGCGAAGACCGCGGGCGCGGGGTGCTCTAGCCAGGCCCCGGCGCCAGCCCAAAAAAAATGTTCCGCCAGCAGGCGGACAAGAGCGCGAAGCAGCACGCTGCCTACTCGAAGTTGGTCACCGCGACGAGCCGTCGCCCATGGAGCTCCCCGAGCGAAGTCTGAAGGCCTGCAGGGGGGACCGCCCTGGCGCCACCGCGGAGCGGACCAAGTCTCGCAGGGAAGCCCCCCCCCGCGCTAGCGACACGGCGAGCCCGGATATGTGCAGCCCACTGCAGGATCGGCCCTCAGGGGATTCCCGTGCTGGCTGAGGGCGCTTTTGGCCCGTCTGGCGCCTTCGGCAGCTGTCTGGCGGGGCCCTCGGGAGGCACTCGGGCCGTTCGGAGCGGCTCTGGCGCATAGCCGTGTTGGGGGGCCTGTGCGAGGTGGGGGCCATACTCCAGATTTCGTAATAAAGGGAGGGGGGTCTCATTTCGGGGGGGGTCTCTTCCAGGCTATCTTGGAGGGCCTGGGGGGGTCTGGGGACGATGTTTTGGAGGGTTCTCCACGGGGGGAGGTCTGAAAAGGCTTGTCTGGAGGGTCCAGCCTCCCCTTTTTATTACGAAATCTGGATACTACGGTCTGAGCCTGGGGAACCCGTCGGTACCGACAAGCGAGACCGTCCGTCGACGTCCAATCGTCGTCCGTGGCCCGTCGGCGAGCTCGCCGACGGCGGGCGAGGCAGAGAGTGAGGAGGAGAACGAAGAGGCAAGGAGTCGGAGGAGGAGGAGGAGGAGGAGGAGGAGGGGGAGGAGGAGGACGGCCCCGGAGGAGGAGGAGGGGGAGGAGGAGGAGGAGGAGGAGGAGGAGGAGGAGGAGGAGAGGAGGAGGAGGAGGAGGAGGAGGGGAGGGGGCCATACACAGGCCTGGGAGACCCGTCGGTACCGACAAGGCGAGATCGTCCGTCGACGTCCAATCGTCGTCCGTGGTCCGTCGTCGAGCTCCGCCGACGGCGGGCGAGGCAGAGAGGGAGGAGGAGGAGGACGAAGAGGCAAGGAGTCGGAGGAGGAGGAGGAGGAGGAGGAGGAGGAGGAGGAAGGAGGGGGAGGAGGAGGAGGAGGAGGAGGAGGAGGAGGAGGAGGAGGAGGTGGAGGCGGAGGAGAGGAGGGGAGGAGGAGGGGCGGAGGAGGGGGAGGAGGAGGAGGGGAGGAGGAGGAGGAGGAGGAGGAGGAGGAGGGAGGAGGAGGAGGAGGAGGAGGAGGAGAGGAGGAGGAAGGAGGAGGAGGGGGAGGAGGAGGAGGAGGCAGGAGGAGGAGGAGGAGGAGGAGGAAAGCAGGAGGACGTTCGGGGACGTCGGAAACTCTGGGAGCAGTCTTGGGGAGCGCTTCTGGGCTCCCGCAGCCGCCTCGACGGCGGTCCAGGTTCCATCAGGGGGAGGAGGCAAGCAGGAGGAGGAGGAGGAGGAGGAGGAGGAGGAGGAGGAGGAGGAGGAGGAGGAGGAGGAGGAGGAGGAGGAGGAGGAGGGGGGGAGAGGCAAGGAGGAGGAGGAGGAGGAGGAGGAGGAGGAGGAGGAGTGGCAAAGGAGGAAGACGTTCGGGGCCGTGGAAGACTCCCAGAACCGTCTTGCGGGCGCTTCTGGGCTCCCGCCGCCGCCTCGACGGCGGCCCGGGGCCCATCGGGGGCATGTGCCTGGGAGGACGGGCCAGGAGGCCTCATACACTAGGGACTCGAACACAAGCACCCTCCCACAAGAAACCCAACCCTGAGACCCCAGGACGCGCACGAATGTTCGGTGTGAGAACGCCTCGCTCTCCATCTCGAAACCATCGAGACCCAAGAAGCCCAGGGCACCCTGGAGGCAAGAAGGGTGTTTCTTGGCATGGGTCTCCACTGTAGACGCATCGCGTGGTCTTGTTAGAAGTCTTTCGGAACAATGTCGTAAGTCTCTTGTGGGTCTCCTGGGGACTCCCCAAGGCCTTGCTGGGACCTCCTGGGGTCCTCTTGGGGGGGCCTTTTAGCAGCCTTTTCGGGGGCGTCTTGGGGAAACTTGGGGGGCGCTTACGGGCCTGTTGGCGGCCTCGAGGGTGATCTTGGAGCGGATGGCTGCCGCCGTCGTCGTCGTCGTCGTCGGGCCTCCAGCGTCTGGCGTCCAGCGTCCGTCGTCCGTAAGCGGGCGAGGCAGAGAACGAAGAGGAGTGCAAGGAGGCAAGGAGTCAGAGGAGGGGGGGAGGAGGCAAGCAGGAGGAGGAGGAGGAGGAGGAGGAGGAGGAGGGGGAGGAGGAGGCAAGGAGGAGGAGGAGGAGGAGGAGGAGGAGGAGGAGGAGGAGTGGCAAAGGAGGAAGACGTTCGGGGCCGTGGAAGACTCCCGGAACCGTCTTGCGGGCGCTTCTGGGCTCCCGCCGCCGCCTCGACGGCGGCCCGGGGCCCATCGGGGGCATGTGCCTGGGGCTGTGGGCCGGGAGGCCTCGTGGACGCAGCGTGGGGTCTCTCCCCGTCGCTCGGACGCCCATTCCCCGTGCTTTTTGTCGGTTTCGTGCGCGGCTTCTTCGCAGGACGATCCGGGAGGCTCCTCAATGACCCCCGCCGAGAAAAAAAGCACACGTCCGAGCGATACCAAGGTCTCGGTGGAAGTCTCTCGGAACCATGTTGGAAGCCTCTTGGAGGTCTCCGGGGGGCGTCCCAGAGGCCTCCTGGGACCTCCTGGGGTTCTCTTGGGGGGCCTTTTAGCAGCCTTTTCGGGGGAGTCTTGGTGGAAGGCTCTTGGAACCATGTTGGAAGCCTCTTGGAGGTCTCCGGGGTCACGTCCCAGAGGCCATCCTGGGACCTCCCGGAGTCCTCCTGGGGGGGCCCCTCAAGAGCCTCTTCGGGGGGCGTCGTGGTGCAACTTGGGGGGCTCCTTGGGGCCTGCTGGCGGCCACGGGGGTGCTCTTGGGGCGCATGACTCGAAACGGTGGTTCGAGTTCTTCCTCTTGGGACGGTCTTGGGGCCCTGCTGGGGCCCCTCTTTGGCCGCGCGCGCTTTGGCGCGCGCTTGGCTTCCAGCAAGCCGCAGCCCTTGACAAGCTCACAGCTCCACTGAAGCAGCCACCCACAGAGGCTTGAACGCGAGGTGACGAAATGTCAACGATGTGGGCCGAGCAGAGACGCATACTCCACAAGGACGCTTCCATACGATTCAATGCTAAGGTATGCAGAGCGGTAAAAAAACAATGCAATCGATGTAATGGCAGTGCAATGCAGCACATTGACATCGAAACCGGGGGCGAGGACAATGGAACGCGAAGTATTGCAAGCAGAAGTGAACGAAGCAAGTGCAAGGTAATGCGATGAAGTAAAGTTCTAGGCAAAGTAAGGCAATATAAACCATGGCAAAACGAAGCAATACACACGCACGTTCGACGCAAATTAACGCAGTGCAATACGAAGCAATGCAATGCAACGAGCCTATCGAACCCCAGGACCCCCAGAAACTCTGAGATCCCAGGGACGGGGAGCCCAAAGGAAGATCCCAGGGAACCCAGGCTGAGGGTCGCAAATGACATCGGCTCTCTTTCGCAAGCAAAAGCAGGGAGAACAGAGCAACGAGTACGGAAGAAGGAGGGAGAAGCGAGAGACGATACAGGCGGACGGAAGAGGAAGGAGGAGAGGAAGAGGGAGGGAGAGGAAGAGAGAGGGCGAGGAAGGGGGAGGAGAGGAAGAGGGAGGAGAGGAAGAGGGAGGGAGAGGAAGGGGGACGATGCAGCGAGAGAAGCGAAGAGGGAGTAGAGGAAGAGGGAGGGAGAAGCGAGGATACAGGCGGAAGGAACGATGAGAAAACTCTCGGGCACCGGCGATTGGATGCAGGATGATGAACGGAAGAAGACCAAGGAGGCAGACGCAATTGCGTAGCGTCCACCAGCCCATGTCGGCACACCCTTCACATGGATCGTGTCCCCCAGGGAGCGCCACCTGCGGCCACACAGCGTCACCCAGCCAATTTCAGGACGCCACTCACACGGATCGCGCCCCTCTGGGAGCTCCAAGTTCGCATGGCGCCGCTCCGCCCATGTCGCCACACCCTTCACACGGAACGTGCCCCACTGGGAAATCCACGTACGGCACCACTGGGAGGATTGGCATAGCGTCCCACCGCATATGCCGGCTCACCCCATCAAACGGATCGTGTCCCACAAGGAGCTCAACCGGCAGCCCCAGGGACAAGGTTCGCATCCGCTCCACCCATAGCGGCACACCCCTGACATCGATCGTGGTCCAAAGGGAGCTCACCTACGGCCCCAGAGAGATGATTCGCATGGCCTCGCCACGCCCATTTCGGCTCACCCCTTACGGGTCGCGCCCCATAGGGAGCTCCACCGACAGCTTCAGCAGGGGTGGTCGCATGGCGTCCCTCCGTATATTTCGGCACACCTCTGACGCGGATCGTACCCCACAAGGATCTCCATCTATGGCACCAATGGGCGTCCCCACGCCCGTTTCGGCGCCGCTGCACGCGGATCGCGCTCCACGAGGAGCTCCACCTCAGGCCTCAGCAGGCGCGCTAGTGCGGGGGGCACCCCCTTCACGCGGATCGCGCCCGACAGGGAGCTAAGCGTGCCTATGCGCGCTAGCTCCGCAGCGGCCCCCTATCCAGTCTGCCAGGCGGCGCGCCGTATATAGAGAGCCGCGCCCTGCGCCACACGCAGCTGCAGAGCGTTGGGCCCTTCGCCAGGCCAAATGATGTTTCTTTCCCCGTACATGTGCACATACCTGAACGCATGCATACACACGTGCATGCATACGTACATGCGTACGTAAATACGTCTACATACATGCACATACTAACAAAGCTGTGCCGATCAGGCGGCGCCCCAGGAACGGGCCTGGGTTGTGAACCAGAGGCCGCTCGTAGATGTATATGAAGGTGTCTTGGAAGTCTCTTGGGGGCCTTTTGGGAGTCTCGGGGGTCCTCTTTGGTTGGGCGGGGGACTCGAAATTTCAATTGGATTTCCCCATCCTGGACTCCTCTTGGGGCCCTTTCGGGGCCCGTTTGGGCCGCCTCTGGACCGTCTTGGAACCCTCTTGGGCCGTATCGGGGTCCTGTTGGGGGCCTCTTGAGCCGTCTTGGGGCGATCTTGGAGGCATCTGAGGTCGTCAAGGACGGCACGAAAACCAAACAGCGAGTATACAACAACAAAAAACCGTTTTCAAAAGGGAATGGGGCGATTGTTGCTTGTCAGGGGCATCTCGGGGAACCTCTTGCAAGGGTCTTCAAGAAACTTAGACGCCTGTGGGGCCGTTCAAAACGCCTCGAGCCGTCGGACACCCCTGGAGGCCGCTTATTTTTCCTTTTGGCACGTCGCCAAGTCGAACCGGAGCGACGCATCCAGCACTCAGAAGCTACTCGGAACGGTGAGCTTTAGCCCACCGTTTTTTGCTGGTGCGCTGCGCGAACACCGCGCCTCCGCGCCCAAGCCCACCGTTTAGTCCACCAAAATGGATAGACTGTCCTCCCATTTGGATGGCCCCAAGGTATCAGGGCCACCTCGGGGGACATGGCAATGTAACAGCCGACGCCTCTGGGGCCCTCTTGGGCTGGCGCGGGACACGCAGAGCCGAGTCCGTGCCGCCCTGGCTCATTCCTCCTATTCCTCCTCCTCCTCCTCCTCCTCCTCCTCCTCCTCTTCCTCCTCCCCTCCTCCTCCTCCTCCGCCTCCGCCTCCGCCTCCGCCTCCTCCTCCTCCTCCTCCTCCTCCTCCTCCTCCTCCTCCTCCTCCTCCTCCTCCTCCTCCTACCTCTGTGGCCAAAGGAAAAGCACCCGCGCCTCGAGGAGCTCTCGTGCGAAAGGGTGCGGCAGCCACTACCGCGCCCGTGTGCCTCGCGCGCCGCGCGCGCCTCCCAACCAGCAGGAACCTCCGAGGACGACATGGCCCCGAAGGGACCTGAGGACACCAAGCCTCGCGCACGATGAGAGAGGGCATCGCGGCGGCGGCCGCGCTCCCTCCCGCAGGAGCTCCGCGGTGAGGGCAGCTCCAGAGGCACGCCTGCAAAAAAAGAACACTCAAAACGGCTGTCCTGCGGGCGATGGCTTACGGGAAGGAGCGAGACTGGCAGGAAGCGCGTTCGAGTGAAGCTGTGCATCAAGAGGCGCTGGACATGGACCCCTTGGCCCACGCCAAGTCACACTAGTGCGCCGGCAACACGAAAGGCTCGACACGTTCTCGCGGTTCCCGGGTTTTGAATACGCGAACGTGCACAGGCCGTCACCAGTCCGAGACGTGGCCTGCAAATTCCATGGCTACAAGAGAGGCCCCCGCAGTCGTGGCCGCGAGAGGAGAGAACTCGAGTGCGGAGGGCGCGCAGAAGACTCTCAGCAAGAGGTGGGATGAGCCCCATCGTCAAGGCCCGCAGTCCGAACGGAATTCCAAATCTGGTTGGATGCTGTAGGTCAACAAGCCTACCATAGCTCAGCCCATTGATAAAGATCCTCGGTGCCGAGCGCCGTAACCGCAGTGAGTCGATGCTCGCCGCCTGCGCAGGAGGCAAGCGCGGCAAGCCCGCGACCGCCGCCTCGCACCGACGCGTGGACACCTATGTACACTGTGAGGGCCCAGAACAGCTCATGCCACTCAAGCAACAGCTGTTATCGACTTGGGCTTGGACACCCATGACTTCCCATCAGCAAAGCAGTAGGCGCCGTGGATGATAATCGTGATTACGACAACAGAGAGCAGCGTGACCTCCTCCTGATAGAGCACGCGCTGCAAGAAGTAGGTCCCAGCGACTGCGACGGCGTAGATCACGTAATTTCACGACGGCGGAGAACTGCTTCACGATAACGTTGGAAAGCCAATTCTTGAGGAGGATCTGCGCCAACAGAATGACGGTAAGCTCACTGAGGCGTAATGAAATAAGAAGAGGCGCCATGAAATCTAGGGAAAAATCATGGCCCCCGCCTTGATATCCACCCCCCCTAGTCATCACCCCCTTCTTTTCCGCCCCCGAAAGTGAAGCGTAGAGCGAGGGGCCGGTGTGGCTCGGGCAGGCGATGGAGAGCGCGCCCTCCACGGCGCGCAGGATCCTGGCGGGCGAGCAGCGAAGGACGCTCCGCGGCGTCACGAGGCTTACAATCGAGGCGTTGACCTAAGGAACCCTAAATAAGGAACGAGGCCCCTATTTTCCAAAAGTTGAACTTCGAATTCGTATCGAAAACCTAAGGAAAATCCAAGGCAAGCTGCGAAACACTTAAGGAACGCGGAGCCCCTCCCCAACGAAAAGGGTTCCTTCTTCAGGGCCCCGACTGTAAGGGATATGCTTCTCTCCACCCTCGGTGAAGTCGGCGAGGCTGGGCTGAGCTGGAGACGAGGAGAAAGAAGACGGCGATGCCCAGGGCGGACGGATGTGGCACACGCAGTCTCAACTACTCCACATGGTGCTGAAGCCCGCTGGCGTGGACGGCGTTCGTGGTATTGCGACTGACCGACGGTGAAGACGCGTTCGACGGCGAGAGTGCATTCCCGATGACGTCTGGGGTCACGCGTAACCGAGGATTCGTGCTCCTGCAAGAAGGGCAGTGCGCAGTACATCATTCCCGTGCGGATCGCCTGCTGTGGACTGGCCGTCGAGATCGTCTCCATGTTGACCATCATTCCCGTGCGGATCGCCTGCTGTGGACTTGCCGTCGAGATCGTCTACACGTTGGCGAAACCGAGCCGCTTGTCGTGTTTCTTCACAAGGTTCCTCAAGGCCTCCCTGTCGATGTGCTGGAACTCAACGAGGGACTCCCGCTGATGCTTCGTGAGCGTGCTGCCACCCCCAGAGTTCGTTTACCTTCGAACACTGTTTCACAAAAGACTCCTCCCAAGCTTCGTAGAAACATTCCGCACCGTGGCGAAACAAGATGGTATTCAGTTCGTCGTACGGCACGAAGTCGGACGGAGCCAGCAGTGGCATGGAATTGCCTGGTATGCAGCGGAGGTACTCGCCATACTTCATCATTTATAATGCAGAGACTACCTGGGATGGGTCGCATCACTCTGGCACCGTGAAGAAAAAAGTATTATGCAAAACGCCAAAGCAACGTGTGCGGACAACTGGCTTGAGCCAACCTGGCTACGGAAACGCCGGAGACCGTCTTGAGGGTGGTCCGCAACTGTCCTGGGGCGCCGTGACGCCCGTCGGACCGCTCCCTGGAGCTCTTTTGGGACCCCCAAATGTGTGCCTGGCTCCCGGGCCCCCACTTACCATGGTCGTCGTGGCCCCCGGGCCCCTGGGACCCCGGTCCCCCGCTAGATGCATAATAGACATTCCTTCGCGAGAGAAAGAAGTGCGACGCGCTAAGAAAGATGACCATCGAAGGCGTGCAGATGGGGGGTGGACGGACGAGCGGGTGACGGATGCAGGTAGATGCCGAAGACTATGGACGCGGAAGCAACGAGAATGGCAATTTTGATGTTCACTCCCGCGTAACGGTCGTAATCCGGTGGGGGGGGGGGATTCGGGCGGGAGGTTGGAGGCCTGGAAATGGGCACCAACACCGACACAGGGGGTTGCCTCCACAGGGAGAAGATGGTCCTAGAGTTCGGTGTTGGTGGTAATATTTCGGCCACCTTGGAAGCCAAAATATGACCACCATCGCCGAGATCGGGATCTTATTCCCTCGGTGGAGGCACACCGCCGATATTGGTGTTGGTGTCAACCTCGAGGCCTGCGAGGAGGGGAACGGTAATCCCGGCCGCGGCGTGCACCCGCCAGGGTGCGTCCGCGCCACTGGCACAGTGCCCCCCAGCATTCAGGGCGGGGGTCCAGCCCCCCCCCCCCCCCCCGTACGACCAGTAGCGTTACCCGGAGGGGGCGGGGGGGGATCTGGCCCGGGCAACGAGCATTACAGTGGGGAGGAGAAGCAAAAACCAAAGAAAGGAAACTCACGCAGCGTGCAGAGAAGGCCCAGGGGCAGAGATCCGATGTCGTGATTTTGGTCAATACGGGGTCCCCCGGAAGTCTCGACCCACTCCCCAGGACGGGTTTTTCATCCCGAGTCGTTTTTTTGACGGTCCCGGGGCCCGGCGAAGGCCCCCAGAGGCCAAAAGCTTCGAGAAACCTCCGTCTTGATTTTGTTCAATGCATTGGATCTCTGGGGGGGCAGGGCGCCGTAAGGCAAAGAAACGCCACCTGCGACCCGCTGAGGGACGCGCGGCAGCGGAGAGCAGAGCGCAGTAGAGAGCGCGGCTGCGGCGAGGGAGGCGGGAGGGGCCGTCGGCGCCTGCAATGGCTCTCCTCCTCCTCCTCCTCCTCCTCTCCTTCTCCCCCCCCTCATCCTCCTCCTCCTCCTCCTCCTCCTCCTCCCCCTCCTCTCCTTCTCCTCCTCTCCTCCTCCTCCTCCTCCTCCTCCTCCTCCTCCTCCTCCTCTCTCCTCCTCCTCCTCCTCCTTGTTTCCTCCTCCTCCTCCTCCTCCTCCTCCTCCTCCTACTCCTCCTCCTCCTCCTCCTCCTCCTCCAAACGTGTGCCCGCGCCGAGGTGGACGACCCGGAAGAGCAGCGACAGCAGGAGGCAAATGAGGGAACGACACTCAGGGGCCGGGGCGAGCCCAGAACCCCTGGGAGCAGAGAGCGACAGCGAGGGACCCAACGACAGGAGCGGAGAAACGAGGCCCAGGGGGCAGCCAGAGCGGACGAGCAGAGGAGGGAGCAGAGGAGCGAAGCACGACGGCAGGAATAGATAATATCTCGGGGACCACGCGCGAGGTCTCGCGGTGCAGAGTCCTGCGAGCAAGTGCCTCAAGAACCGAATCGAAACGACGGCCGCCAACTCGATGCAGGACGAATGATACAAACACACACACACACACAGACACACACAGAACGAGAAAATCACAAAAATCAAACATCGTCGGAGGAGGAGGAGAAGGGGGAGGAAGAGAGAAGGAGGTCAGCCCCCTCGGGGCCGAATGGAAGCTCAGCAGGGCGGGCGGCGTAAGGTAAGAAATCGAGGGTGCAAAAGGCAAGCAGAGCGCGACCAGCATGAAACTTGACTCCTCGAGGCCTCCAGCACCGTCAACGACGTCTCAGGTAGAGAAGGAGTCAGCCAAGACCAACTCCGCTCAGTGCAGGAGAAGGAGGAGAGGAAGGGGGAGCAGAAGGAGAAGGAGGGGAGAAGGGGGAGGAGGAGGAGGAGGAGGAGGAGGAGGAGGAGGAGGAGGAGGAGAAGGAGGAGGCGGAGGAGGAGGAGGAGAAAGAAGAGGAGGAGGAGGAGGAGGAGGATGAGGAGGAGGGAGGAGGAGGAGGAGGAGGAGGAGGAGAAAGGGGAGGAGGGGGAGGAGGATGGGGAGAAGGAGGAGGAGGAGCAGCAGCAGCAGGAGGAGGAGGAGCAGGAGCAGGAGGAGGAGGAGGAGGAGAAGGAGGAGAGGGAGATGGAGGAGGAGGAGGAGGAGGAGGAGGAGGAGAAGGAGAAGGACGAGGAGGAGGACAAGGAGGAGGAGGAGGAGGAAAAGGAGGAGGAGGAGGACAAGGAGGAGAAGGAAGAGGAGGAGTAGGACGAAGAGGAAAAGGAGAAGGAGGAGGACATAGACGAGGAGGGGAATGGGGCCCGAGCCAGCGCCCAACGGCTTTTCTGGAAGGCGACACTCCAGGTGCGGCCCGTTCCCACCTTCGGGAGCGGGCGCGCCGCGGCGGCGGCGGAGCGCGCAGTGCAGAAGCAGGGAGGGGGTCGGCAGGGACAGGGATTAAGACAGAGAGGGACAGAGAGGAGAGTCTCCTCCTCTCTCCTCCCTCCCTCCCTCCCTCCCTCCTCCTCCCTCCTCCCTCCTCCCTCCTCCCTCCTCCTCCTCTCTCCTCCCTCCTCCCTCCTACCCTCCTCCCCTTCTCCCTCTTCCTACTCCCTCCTCGTCCTCTTCCCTCCTCCTCCTCCCTCATCATCTCCTTCCCTCTCTCCTCCTCCTCTCCTCTCATCCCTCCCTCCCTCCCTCCCTCCCTCTCCCTCCCTCCCTCCTCCCTCCTCCTCCCCTCCCTGCTCCTGCGCCGGCTCCCTCCTTCCTCCTCCCTCCTCCCTTCCCTCCCCTTCCCTCCGCCTCCTCCCTCCTCCCTCCTCCTCCTCCTCCTCCTCTCCCTCCTCTCTTCCTCCTCCTCCTCCGCCTCCTCCTCCCCTCCCTCCTCCTCCTCCCTCCTCCTCATCCACTCCCTCCCTCCCTCCCTCCCTCCCTCTCTCCCTCCTCCTCCTCCTCCTCCTGACCTGATCCTACTGATCATCCCTCCTCCTGTACCTCCTTCCCCCCCCATCCACCTCCTCGTCTCCTTATTAGTATGTTTCTTGAGAGTGATATTAGTAGCATTAGTACCCATAGTAGTGCGACTAGCATTCGTACTACTAGTAGCATTGAAATTACTCGTGCTGGTATGATTATTCGTACTCGCATGAAGAATTAGAGTGTATGGATTAAGATCAGTATGAATGATATAATTAGTGGTATCAGTCGTATTCACAGTAAAAAATATGCTTCGTAGTATTATCATAAGTGACACTAGTAGTATGATTAATATTCTTAGTAGTTGTATTATGATCTGATTGCCATAGTAGTAGCATTATTAGTAGTCGTCTTTCTCTGATTAGTAGTCGTGTTAGCATTGCTTCCTTATGACCAGTAGCCGTATCAGTATGCCTCGTCTTCTTCGTATTAGTGTTCTTAGTTGTTATTGTGCTTAGTACTCCTAGTCTTCGTACTCGTATTACTGTTATTCGTCATGCTCTTCTTCTTCGTCATCCTCCTCCTCCTCCTCCGCCTCAGCCTCCGCCTCCGCCTCCTCCGCCTCCTACTCTCCTCCTCCTCCTCCTCCTCCTCCTCCTCCTTCTCCTCCTCTTTCCTCTCCCTCTTCATTACTACAAAGTCGACGCGCTGGAATTAGGACCTCTTTGTGTTCAGAAGGGGCTCTGGTTTCCGGGCTGTTCGTTAGATCTGGATCGGACGGCATATCATTGGCCGAGGCTCGCCGTGGCCCAAACAAGACCCTTCGTTCCTTACTCGGCGTTCCTTGTGGTAACACGATGACTGCACCCTCCCACTCGCGCTAAGTCAGAAGCAAGGATCACACCTCTACGCTGCGTTACTCTGACCTAGTAGAGCTGAGCTTCCGACCTAGGGTCCAGGCCTGCTGTCAGCACGAAGCCGATCACAGGGTGTCGTACTCCTCATTACCACCATCATCACACTCAGCAGCACAACCACCATAATCACAGATCTCAGCATCATCACAATCACCATCATCAGCATCATCATCAGACTCACCATCATCATAATCAGAATCAGCATCATCATCAGCATCATCATAATCATCAGCAACATCGGCATCATCATGATCACCATCAGCATCACCATCATCAGCACCAGCATCATCGTCAGCATCAGCAGTAGCATCATCAACACCATCAGCAGAAGCATCATCATGATCGGATTCATCATCATCAACTTAAGCATCATCATCCGCAGCAGCATCTGCATCATCATCAGCAGCAGCAGCATCATTAGCATCATCAGCATCATCATCAGCAGCAGCATCATCAGCAGCAGCACAAGCAGCACCAGCATCATACACATCACCGAGCACAACCATAAGCCACTACAAAACATCATAGTGTGTGTACCGCTGGGGAGGAGGAGGAGGAGGAGGAGGAGGAGGAGGAGGAGGAAGAGGAGAGGAGGAAGGAGGAGGAGGAGGGAGGAGGAGGAGGAGGAGGAGGGGAGAGGAGAGGAGGGAGGAGGGGAGGGCGACCACGGGGAACCACATCTCACAAGGCGACGAAGGGAAAAGGAACGAGGCGGCCTGGGAGGAGGAGGAGTGACGGGGGGGGGAAGAGGCGGCGGTGGAGGAGCAGAGGGCGGCAGAGGGGGCGAGGAGACGGAGAGCGGCACGGAGAGGCGGAGGCGGGCGGGGAGGACTGCGGCCGTGCGCGCGCACTCACCCTTTGCGGCCCGTGCGGCGCAGCTGCACGCCGCTCTCCGCTCGGGGGCTTCGAGGTCCCCCCCCCCCCCCGGGGGGGGGGAGGGAGGCCCCGAAACACGCGCGGCCCGGGCCCCATCCATCCTCCTCCCCATCCCTTCTCCTCTCCGTCTTCCTCAATTTCTCCCCATCTCCACCCTCCTCACCCCCCCTCACCCCTCCTCCCCGCCCCTCCCTCCGCTCCCTCCTCGCCCTCCGCCCCCCCCGCCGTGGCTCGTACTTCTGCTGGCCGGTCGTGGCTCCGTGGGGGAAACAGTGGCGCCGCGCGGTCGAAAGCCACTGTGCGATGTGTGAGCTGGACTGCGCAATGCGCTGCCCGAAACGCGCTTGCCTTCTGGCCCCAGCCTTTGCCATCGCTCGGACACCCATTCCCCGTGCATTGTTCGGCGTCGTGCGTTCATTCTTGTAGCAGGCTGCTCCAAGATGCTCCTCGATGGCCTTCCACGCGGAAGAAATGCACACGTCCGAGCGATGCCGAGAGCGCCCGCGCCCCCCCCCTACTCCAGAGAAGAACAGCTCGCCCAGACCGCGGAGCGCAGAGGCCCCGCCGAGGGCCTCCCAAAACCCGACGAGGCCAGCCCCAAACCCACAGAAACGAACAACTGAGTACAGTCGGACCTAGGCCAGAAGAACGTTCTTTCAGAACACGAGACACTCCGCCGGCCCAAGCACACAGAGCGTCCAGGAGCACCCTCCCTGGGGTGCACAAGACCACCCAACAAACACGAAGTACAGTAACGAATCCTCCCCGAACCGACCTCGATCTTATACCTCGGTCCTGCTGTACCAGGAGCTCGCTCCTGAGTGACCTCTGGCGAGCCGAGTTCCCGCACGGCATGCGCGCGCTGCGCGAACTGTCCTCGTGCGCTGCAGGGAGAGATAGCCACGACGGTCTGCGATGCACCCGTTCGCACCGTGTCCGCCTCATCCTCCATCCTGCCTCCTCCTCCTCCCCCGCCTCCTGCTTCTCCCCGTGTCTCCTGCATCCTGCCTCCTGCCTCCTCCCTCCTACCTCCTACCTCCTCCTCCTCCTCCTCCTCCTCCTCCTCATCAGCAGCAGCATCAGCATCAGCATCAGCATCAGCATCAGCATCAGCATCAGCATCAGCATCAGCATCAGCATCAGCATCAGCATCATCATCATCATCATCATCATCATCATCATCATCATCATCATCATCATCATCATCATCATCATCATCATCATCATCATCATCATCATCATCATCATCATCACATCATCATCAGCATCAGCATCAGCATCAGCATCATCATCATCATCAGCATCATCATCATCAGCATCAGCATCAGCATCATCATCATCAGCATCATCATCATCATCATCAGCATCATCATCATCATCATCATATCATCATAATCATAATCATAATCATCATCATCCTCATCATCATGATCAGCATCATCAGCATCAACATCAGCAGCATCAACATAAGCATCATCATCGGCAGCAGCAGCATCATCATCATCAGTATCATGAACATCACCATCAACATCATCAGCATCATCATCATCACCATCACCATCAACAGCATCAGCATCAGCAGCATCAGTATCAGCAACATCATCAACATCATCATCATCAGCGTCATCATCATCATCATCATCATGCTCATCATCACCATCAGCATCATCATCATCATCAACATCATCATCATCATCAGCGTCATCATCATGATCATCATCATCAGCATCATCATCATCATCATTATCAGCATCGTCATCGTCATCGTCATCCGCGTCGTCATCGTCATCGTCCTCGTCACCATCATCATCGTCAGCATCATCAGCAGCAGTATCATCAGCATCATCATCAGCATCATCAGCAACATCAGCATCGTCATCATCAGCATCGTCATCATCATCATCATCATCAACATCAACATCACCATCAGCAGCATCGTCATCATCAGAATTATCATCACAGTCGTCAGCATCAGCATCATCATCATTGTCATCACATCACAATAATAATTTTATCATCACCACCATCATCATCATCAGTATCATCAGCATCAGCATCATCAGCATCAACATCAGCGTCATCATAATCATCATCATCAGCATCATTAGCATAATCATCGTCATCATCATCGTCAGCATCAGCATCTTCAGCATCAACATGTTCATCATCATCATCAGCAGCATCAGCATAATCATCATCGTCGTCGTCATCATCATCAACATCATCATCATGCAAATCATCATCTTCCTCAGCAGCATCGCCATCATCGAGAACATCATCAGCAGCAGCAGCATCATCAGCATCATCACCATCACCATCAACAGCATCATCATCATCATCAACAACAACGCGAGTCACAATCATCATCATCCTCATCACCTCCTCCCCCGTCCTCCTCCCCCTCCTCCTCCTCAACTACTCCGCCTCATCTTCCTCCTCCGCCTCTTCCTCCTCCTCCGCCTCCTCCTCCCCATCCTGTTCCTCCTCCTCCTCCACATCCTCCTCCTCCTCATCAGCATCATCAGCATCATCCTCACCATCTCACCATCATCAGCATCAGCATCATCAGCATCATCATCATCACCGTCAGCAGCATCACCAGCATCATCACCATCCGTATCACCATCAGCAGCAGCAGCCTCAACATGAGCGTCAGCATCGGCATCTTCATCATCAACAGATTCATCATCATCAGCATCAGCATCATCATCGTCATCGTCGTCATCATCATCATCGTTAGCATCAACATCATCATAAGCATCATCAGAATCATCAGCATCATCATCATCGCCACCATCGCCACCATCCGCAGCAGCATCATCATCACCATCATCACCATCAACACCATCATCATCATCATCATCAACACGAACAACAAACACAACAACAACAGCAACAGCAACAGCAACCGCATCAACCTCACCAACAGCAACAACAACATCAGCAACATCATAATCGTCACCAGCATCACCGTCACCACCACAGTCAACAGCCTCAAAGCCGTCGTCGTCATCACCAGCATCACCACCATAATTACCACACCTATCATCAGCCTCACCAAACAGCATGACCATCACTAACACCATCACAGCCATAATCACCATCATCCTCATCATCGTCATCAGCAACATCATCAGTTTTACCAGCATCGTCATCATCATCAGCATCATCAGCAGCATCCGCATCATCATCATCATCAGCATCATCATTATCATCATCGTCATCATCGTCGTCGCCGTCATCAGCAGGGCCATCATCCTCCTCATCATCATCATCACCCAACCGCCCACATCCACAGCCGCATAAGCAGCAGCATCATCACCAGCATCACCAGCATCATCACCATCAACAGCAGCATCATCATCATCATCATCATCATCATCAGCATCATCATCATCAGCATCAGGATCATCATCCTCACAGTCATCATCATGAGCATCCCAGCAACCATGGGCATTACAACAACAATCATCATCATTACCATCACCGGAGTCATCATCAGCAGCAGCACAATCATCACCATCATGATCTGTATTAGTTAGCACCACCATGCGCAGCAGTATAATCACCATCATCACCACACCATAACCCCACCACAAGCATCGGCATCACACACTCCAAAGCAGCCGTCCTCAGCATCCACAACACAACCGCCATCGTCAGCATCACCATCATCACCAACAGCAGCATCACCATCGTCGTCATCACCATGATCAGCATCAGTATCACCATCAGCGTCACAATCAGCATCACCATCACCATCACCCGCATCATCGTCACCATCACCAGTTACCATCAGCATCATCATCATCATCATCATCATCATCATCATCATCATCATCATCAGTCACTACTACCATGATCAACAACAACATCATCAGCGTGGTCATCGTCATCATCATCAGCATCATCATTATCATCATTGTCAACATCGTAATCGTCATCGTCATCGTGATCGTCATCGTCGTCATCATTAGCGCAAGCACCATCCGCATCATCGTCATCATCATCACCATCATCATCATCGTCGTCAGCAACATGGGATCGGCGTAATCACCAAACCCCACCATCATCAGCAGCAGCAGCATCATGTCAATCAGTATCATCATCACCACCACCACCATCATCATTATCATCAGCATCATCATGTCATCATCAGCATCATCATAAGCATTATCATCATTATCCTAATCACCCTCATCATGATCATCACCATTATCCCCAACAGTATCATCACCATCAACATCACCACCACCATCATCATACACATCACCATTACCATCATCATCAGCATCAACACCGTCATCAGCAGCAGCATATTCATCACCACCATCATCATCAGCAGCAGCATCATCACAACCATCATCATCAGCATCATGATCAGCATCATTATCAGCATTATCAGCATCGTATCATCATCATCATCATCATCATCATCATCATCATCATCATCATCATCATCATCATCATCATCATTATCATCATCATCATCAGCAGCAGCAGCAGCATCATCATAACCATCACCATCACCATCACCACCACCACGACCACCACCACCATCACCATAACCATCACCATCACCATCATCAGCAGCATCATCATCACCGCCACCATCACCCGCCCCCTCCTCTTCCTCCTCATCCTCATCATCCTCGTCCTGCCTCCTCCTCCTCCTCCCGAGCCTCCGCCTCATCCTCATCCTTCTCTTCACCCTCGCCCGCCTCCTCCTCCTCCTCCTCCTCTCCTCCTCCTCCTCCTCCTGCTGCTCCTCCTCCTCCTCCTCCTCCTCCTCCTCCTCCTCCTCCTCCTCATGGAGAGAACTCGGCGCCCCCCCCCCGGGCGGAGGGCGGAGGCCACGACGCAGGGCGCCGCCCGCGGGAGGGGGGGGCGGGGCCCACAGCGCGGCTCCTATTTCTGGTCCGCGGGGGCAGATGGCCGGGTACCTGGCCCTCTCGGCTTGGGCGGCACCGATGGGGGGGGAGGGGGACGAGGGGAGGAGGGAAAGAGGGGAGGGGGGTGGGGAGGGGGGAGGAGGGGAGAGGAAGGGGAGGGGGAGAGAGGGGAGGGGAGGGAAGGAAGGGGAGGGGGGGAGGCGAGGGAGGGGATGGGAGGGGGGATGGGGGGGGGGGGGGGGGGGGGGGTGGGGCGGGGGGGAAGGGGAGAAGGAGGAAGGGGCAGATGCGCGGCCCAGGGGGAGGGGGGGGGCATGGGACGTCACTGAAATAAGAAGAGGCAGCACGAAACCTGGGGGAACGCCGTTGCCCCCGCCATGATATCCATCCCCCCTGGTCATCACCCCCCTCTTGGCCGCCCCGAGGTACAGCTTGTGCCCGGCCATCTCCTGACGATCTCGGCTCGCTCGCTCCATCGAGGAAGCAGCTCGCTCGATCAATTATTATTGGCCTCGCACCACCGCGTGCGGGCCAATCCACCTCACGGGCGCTGACATCATCGGCTGCAAATTCACGGAAAACAGCGCGGGCATCACCGGCTGCACGGTCAAGGGCGCGGGTACCACCGGCTGCACGGCATCACCAGCCAGCTTCCTTCCCGCGGCGGGGGCGGCTGCAGCGGCGGGCAAGACTGCAGCTGTGCCCAGCTGAAGGTAGCAGCCGGTCTGCGGTTGTGCAGGCAGCACGCCGGTGGCCATCGTCGCAGCCGTGGCCGCGCAGGCAGGCAGCGTGCCCACCTAGAGGAAGAAACATCGGCATAAACATAACGATGTGGGGGTCGGCGATGATCTCTTACATCGGCGCTGGGCGGAGGCGCCGCCAGGGGGACCAGCGCAGATCCAAGAAATCCGCGCAGAGCGCCGACAGTTGATGCTCATCGGGGGGCCAAAAAAATCGTCGGCCCTGTCGGCGTGTGTGAAGACGCGTTTCCGTTTGAGTCGTCGTCGCCGTCGCCGCTCCCCCCTCCCCCCTTTTCCTGGGCCCTCCTCCTCAAGCGATCCAGCCAGACGGAAATCAAAAAAAAACCGCAAGGGATTCGAAGAGAACCCTCTTCCCTTTGATTCCGTCCCTGGCGGAGGGGGGGGTAGCAGGGGAGGCCTTGGGGGGGGTAATTAGCGTTAGGTCGGGCATGTCCTCCTACAGGGGGATTGTGGACGAAAAATAAAAAATAGTCCCAAATTATTCACTGCGTAGAGCTCCCCATATGTGCATCTATTCGCATGGACCTGTCCGCCGTGGATGTCTAGGCGCAAGAGCGTTCGAATATAAACGGTTGTGGCGGTCTGGTCATGAATCTAACTGCGAATGAATTGGAGTGTGAATGAGCCTCAGTAGTACGAGCGCGTCTCTGCGCATGGGCCTGGGGCCTCCTGGGGCCTCCTGAAACCTACTGGGGCTTCCTGGGGCCTCCAGGAGCCTCTTGGGGCCTCCTGGGGCCTCCTGGGACCTCCCAGGGAGGCTTCGTGCCCCAGGAGAGGCCCAATCTACAGCAACCGACGTACATAAATCATTGCGGATTGGAGCCACAGGAGAAGGGCAATATATAGGAACACACGTAAAGCACCAAGGACTCGTGCCCCCGGAGAGTCCCAACATATAGGAACATAAGTAAAACATGTAGGATTGTGTTCACAGGAGAAGGACAATATATAAAAACATACGTATAACGTCAAGGATTCGTGCTCCAGGTGAGGCCCAATCTATAGGAGCATACGTAAAACACATGGGATTGGAGCCACTCATGTTGCCTTCTGAGGCCTCCTGCTCCTGATTCCTGGGGTCTCCTGGAGCCTCTTGGGACATCTTGTGGCCTCTTGAGTCTTTATGTGGCCTCCTGATGCCTCCTGGGACCTCATGTGGTCCCCAGGGGCCTCCTGGAGCATGTTGGAGCATCATGTGGCATCCTGAGGAGAACCTGTGCCCACGAGTCTGGCCACCAAAACAGGCAACCGAACGAGACATCCTCAAAATCTGGCCCACCTGGGGGGTGGAAATGAGCGCCTCGCTCGAGACATCCTCCAAAACTGCTCCGAAAGCGAAGGATGTTGGGACAGAAAACAGGCAAACCGCTTGAGACATCCCAACAAAACGGCCGCGAACGGGACCGTGTCATACCCCTCGGCGGCTCCCCTTAGGGGCGTGGAAATGAGCGCCTCGCTCGAGACATCCTCCAAGTCTGCTCCGAAAGCGAAGGATGTTGGGACAGGAAACAAGCAAACCGTTTGAGACATCCCCACAAAACGGCCGCGAACGGGACCGTGTCATACCCCTCGGCGGCTCCCCTTAGGGGCGTGAAAATGAGCGCCTCGCTCGAGACAGTCTCCAAATCTGCTCCGACAGCGAAGGATGTTGGGTATGAGTAAGTCATTAAGTCTGGGTATGAGTAAGTCTTAGTATGAGATCATGCTGTGTGTTGAGTAAGTCAGAAAACCATAAGGTCCGAATATGAGTAGGTCTAAGTATGAGTTGGTCTGAGTATGGGTAGGTCTGAGTATGAGTATGTCTGAGTATGAGTAGGTCTGAATATGAGTAGGTCTGAGTATGAGTAAGTCTGTGTATGAGTAAGTCTGTGTATGAGTAAGTCTGGGTATGAGGAGGAGGAGGAGAAGAAGAAGAGGAAGAAGGAATAGGAGGCGTCCAGGTAATAACAAGAACCCCATCTTAGGATATGGGGAAATATGCAGAAATGATCAAAAAATACTCTGAAAATCGTCCCAAAACTATTGTAACTATTCTTTAATACTCGTCCTGTAGAGGGACATGCTCGATTTACAAATAGCGGGCTGGGGTCCCGACGGGGGCCGCAGGAATCGTGACCTTTCCCCTGGGAAGTGCCCCCTGTGGACAAGGGGGGTAGGGGGGTGGTCCAGGGGGGACTCAGGACCCCTCCCCCCACTGCACGCTTTCCCCCGGGCCCGTAGGCGACCTGAGGGGTAGGAGGAGGAGGAGGAGGAGGTGGAGGAGGGGAGGAGGAGGTGGAGGAGGAGGAGGATGAGGAGGAGGGAGAGGAGGAGGAGAGGAGGAGAAAGGAGGAGAGGAGAAGAGGAGAGGAGGAGAGGGAGGGAGGAGGGAGGGAGAAGGAGAGAAGGCGGAGGAGGAGGAGAGGGGGAGGAGGACGGGTCGCCCAAGCCCTTCGGAGAAGCCCTCCACCCCCCGCCTCCCCCCTGTGGACAAGGGGACCACCATCCCCCCTCCTCCTCCTAAGCCCCCCACCCTGGAGGCACCCTCCTCACTCTTATCTGCTGCTGCGGAGTGCTGCGTGCTTTCCTTACCTGCCTCCACGAGGCCTGAGACCTGTTCCGAGGCTGCTCCAAGTCCCAAGTGGCCGCGGGGTTACCAAGAAGTCCCCCAAGAGGCCCCCCAGCAGAGCCCAATAGGCTCCCAAGAGAGACCCATGAAGGGCTCCAGAGCGTCAGCGACATCGTCGCCGCCGCCGCCGTCGTCGTCGTCGTCCCCCATCAGGGTCCGCGGCAACGGCCGCGAGGCCTTCCCAAACTCAGGCGCTGTGGGGAACCTGTCAGAGCGCCAGGGCTGCAGAAACACCAGGCCTCCGGGGCTCACACCGAGGAGCCGCACGCCGACGGGCTCTGCCTCCTCCCGCCCTACCCTTCCTGTCTGTCTTCCCCGGCCGCCGTGAGGCCGTGCTGGGGCCAGCATGGCGGCGATCGCCTGGCCACGTCGACCCGGGCGCCCTGGTCGTCGAGGCGGCAGGCCTGCGCCAGCAGCGTCGTGTCCCGGGGCACCTCCGGCAGCGGCACCAGGCGGGCCTTCTGGACGCCGGGCTCGGTCCTCGGCGGGCCCTCGTACTGCACGACGTACCGCCCGTCAGCCTCCTGCGGCGCGCCGCCGCGGCGGCGGGTGGCGCGAGGGGGGGGAGCTTCCGAGGCAGGCGGGGGGGGGGCTCCTCAGTAGGGGCTCCAAGGGGGCTTCCAGGAAGGCCAGTTGTTGGAGGCCTGGGAATTGGCACCAACACCAACACAGGGGGTCGCCTCCACAGGGGGAAGATGGTCCTCGATGTCGGTGTTGGTGGCAATAGTTCGGTCACCATTGGAAGCCAGAATATTACCACCATCCCCCGAGATCGGGATCCCCTTCCCGCGGTGGAGGAACACCGCCGATATTGGTGTTGGTGTCAACCTCTAGCTCTAGGCCTGCGAAGTTGGAAGCCAGGAGGCCTTATGAAGAAGCCCCGCCCCGGCCCCCTCGGAAGCCCCGCGCCGATTTCTTCTCGTGCGGGTCACCTTGCTCGAGCCACCCCCCTGCGGGAGCGCGCCGCCTCCGCGCAAAAGAGTGACCCGAGAGGTGCGCAGCGTGCGAACCGTTTGCATGCGGTGCGGCGGCAGCGGCTTGCGCGGTGGGGTCCGCCCCCGCTGCAGGCCCCCCGAGGGCTACTCCGGCGAGGGCTTCTCTAGAAGCCCCCTCACCTCCTCCTCCTCCTCCTCCTCCTCCTCCTCCTCCTCCTCCTCCTCCAACTCCAACTCCTCCTCCTCCTCCTCCTCCTCCTCCTCCTCCTCCTCCTCCTCCTCCTCCTCCTCCTCCTCCTCCTTCCTAGAGGGACCCCGCCTTCTTGGGGCGCCCCCCCTGCGCCGACCCGCTCGGGCGCGCCGCCGGCCCGCATCCCCAACCAGGCGGGGCAGATTGGGAGAGCCACCGACTTGTTCCAGCAGTGGCCGATGTTCCATACACGGCCTTAGTGAACGATTCGGAATGGCGCGCAGATCTCTGGGATACGCGCGGAGATGGGCAAGCTGATGCTCATGCCTCCTTTGGTTCCCGACCATCGTGTGGTTTGGGGCCCTCCTTTTGAAGAGGCACCGCCCCGCGTCGTCTTATCCTCCTCTCCTCCTCCCCATCTTCCTCCCTCTTTCCATTTCTCTCTGCCCTCCGCACGTCCACTTCGGCACGCCCCGCACACGCTCCGTGGCCCCCCTGAGAAATCCACCGAAGGCCCCATCGGCAAGGTCCACATGCAGTTCCCCCCCCCCCCCGATTCCGGCACAACCCTCACACGCTGCGTGGCCCCCTTGGGGGCCCCACCGAAGGCCCCAGTGGCAGTCTCCACATGCGGTCCCCTTCCAAGTTCGGCACACCCCTGACATCCACCGAAAGCGGTGCCCACAACGCGGTATCCACAATTGCATATGCTTAGGTCCTTCGCCGACAGAACTTTCGAAATAGAGCCTGGGATGGTTCTGACGACGATGATCCTGGGCGACGCCTGGCCGCGGACACAATAGCCGGCTGCCTGGAACACTGGGCGCCATAAGCGGCCATGATTCGAGGGAGGCGCCGAATGGCGGGGCCGAAACAAGCTGCACGCGGCAGCTTCTGTGCAGTCGGACTCGATTGGATAGGACACGCGAGAGGACACAAGACCCTTCCGAGGGCCACATTGCCAGAGGAATGCAGGAAGCATGGGACGCGAGACACAGGACACAAGGGTACCCTTGATTTGGCAGGGTCGACCTACTAATCTGGACCGACTGTAGTACTGTAGCCCCCACCTGTGTCCCCGTCCACCCCGTTGTCATGTCCGACACGATCGCCGCGAACCCAAAGGCCACTCCGGCGAAGGAACACTCGGCCCTGGGTGATGGGCATGTCTTCCACCACCACCACCACCACCACCACCATAAGCTGGAGGGGGGAAGGAGGTGGAGGACGAGGAGGAGGAGGTGGAGGAGGAGGAGGAGGAAGAGGAGAAGGAGCAGGAGGAGGAGGAGGAGGAGGAGGAGGAGGAGGACCCCCTCCCACTCCAACTTGTGGTGGTGGTGGAAAACAGGCCCATCACCCAGGCCCTGACAGGGGCCCCCTGGCAGTCCGCCCGGGCCGACTCGGGCACCGCCGGACCGCTCTCGCAGGAGGCGCAGCTGCCAGAACGCGTGCCCAGGCAGGAAAAAACCCTGGAACCGACGAGAGCGTCCAAGGCGCCGCTCCTGGGCGACGACCTCCTGGCCGCGGGCCCAGGTGGTCGGCCGCCTGCTCCCCCGGCGCTGGAGGATGCCATGAAGGCCTATGCTTGCGCAGCTGATGGGCTCCCAACACCCGGATAGCTAGTGTGATGATGATGACCTGCCAGACCAACCCGCAGACCCGAATTTGACCCGATTGAATTTCGGGATGGGGGGGGGGTAACGGGGTCCACCTGTTTTTTTGCCCATGCTTCCCGACCCCCCCACCCCACCACCACCCCTGGAAATGGAGGGCAAGTCGAGGCCTTCGGGTTGGGTTAGGGGTGTTTTTGGTGGGTGGTGAGACTAGGGGGGGGGGGGGGACACGCGAGCGGGCGCGCGAGGCGTCTCCGCGGCGCCGCGCAGCCTCCGGCGGTGTCCACACTCCGCTCCCGGCGCCCCGAGGGCCGCCCCAGCGCGCGGGCGCCGGCCGGGGGCGGCGCCGTCGCACGCCGCCGGGCACCACGTCTCGCAGCGCGCTCCCTCTGGCCAGGCCGGCCGACCGCCACAAACTACCAGCCTGGAACATATCCCTATCCCTATGCTGGGCACCTCCTCATCACGATGCCAATATTAGGGATTCCCTTGTTTTTTGAAGGCGGATCCCTAAGATTGTCATCGCCTTTTGGCGTGTCAATCTTAGGGATAGGGATACGTTCGAGGCTGGTAAACAAACCCAATCACCTCCGACTCGCGCGGCGCTGGCAACACTGTTCGTCGTCCTTCCTGTCTGCAGGGGATCCCCCAGCGTCCCCAGCTGGCGGCACGAGCCGGAAAGCCGACGCACGCGCTGCCGCTCCACTCGACACGCAGGTGCTTCCCAGCCTGCCGGTGCTCCCGATAGCGAGCTAGTAGCAGATTCTGAGCCGCCTGTGTTTACGCTGGCCCCTTCTGGGGCTCGTGCGCCTCCCAGAGGTTCACGTCGAAAGCGCTGAGGCCCACATGCAAAACCTTCTGAAATTCTCCTGGTCTAAACTGCATGGCACGTGGCGGCAACACCCCCGATCTGGAAGGAGTGGCACACGGCATGGGAGGGACATCTGCCGACCTCCAAGGTTACCTTGCAAAAAAGGTCCGTTACATCCTTCCGACGGATCAGCTCTCCCTTGTCACCCCTGGTGCCCCTCCAGGGCCCACTGTTTCGGAGCGAGCCGTTGCAAACGCGCCATGGCCAGGATGGGGCACCGGTCTGACTCACCTCGAAGCAGATGATCACCGCACCTGCGCCCTCGAAAGACATGCGCACCTCGCCCTCCGCCCAGGGGCGTTCCCGAAACAAACGGTCTTGGACTTTGTTTTCCTGGTCCATTCCCAAGGAGGTAGTCGCCTGGGCCCGCCCAGCGACTGACACCACCGTGTCACCCGTCGCTTTCGTTACACCTCCCCGAACAGTTTCGCCCAGGCAGCATGCCCGGCCTTCGAATGCGCAGGAGGGCGCGCGGCCTCAAGGCTGGACCCCGTTTGTCCCGCGGGCATGACGTGGAGTCCCATGGCGGCCCGCTTGTCGCGCGCCCTCACTCCGTCCAGATGCCAGGCGGCATTCCTCGGGCTGCCCCGCTGGGCCAAGAGATGGCGGGCGGCTCGGGCAAGGCCCCCCTGCTCCACAGGGGGGGGGGCCACTGGACCCCCGCCCCAGACGCCCTCGGAGCGCCAACCGGGATGCCAAGACATCCTGCTCCTGCAGGCCGAGGCGGCGCAGCTCCTGCTGAACCATCACTTCTCTTGTGGCGCGGGGGAGGGCGCCCACGGGCATCGGACCCCCGTCCCAGACACCCTCGGAGTGCCAACCGGGACGCCGAGAAATCCTGTCCCTGCAGTCCGAGGCGGCGCAGCTCCTGCCGAACCATCGCTTCTCTTGTGGCGCGGGGGAGGGCGGGCGCCCACGGGCGTCGGACCCCCGTCCCAGACACCCTCGGAGTGCCAACCAGGATGCCAAGAAATCCTGCTCCTGCAGTCCGAGGCGGCGCAGCCCCTGCCGAACCATCGCTTCTCTTGTGGCGCGGGGGAGGGCGTCCACGGGCATCGGACCCCCGTCCCAGACACCCTCGGAGTGCCAACCGGGATGCCAAGAAATCCTGCTCCTGCGGACCGAGGCGGTGCAGCTCCTTTTCTTTCTCGAGTCAGCGGACTCGTGTGATCTGGACTGCTGTTCGCACTCAGGAGTCGATGCAACAACCGACCTTGCAGCAAGCGGAGGGGGGGGGGACAAATGGTAACAGAAAGCAGGCGGCTTTTTTTGTCCTGACAAAGACCAGCCGCACGCGTACTGGCCAGAGGTTTGAAAAACGCGCAATTGCGCCGTCCTCAGTAGTAGACCGAAAGGACCGAGAACAGGCTGAGGAAGGCCACCGTGATGAAAGCCACCTCGAACAACGAACAGGCGAAGACGCCGGTCACGCCATCGAAGCCCGTGCGCTCGTGCCTGCAGATGGTAACAGAAAGCTCCTGCCGAACCATCGCTTCTCCTGTGGCGCGGGGGAGGCGTCCACGCTGCGGCTGTGCTCGGCCCAGGGCCCCTGCGGCCAGTGCGCCGGAGGCTGCGCCGCGCCTCGGGCAGTGGCAGGAGGAGGAGGAGGAGGAGGCAGCGCCCGGGCGAGGCGACCACTTCGGGCTGCAGGCCTCCACCCCCTCCCGCGGGGGCGGCTCGGGCACCAGGGTTTTTTGTGCCGCCATGGACATGTTCGAGGCGGCCCCTGGCCCTCCCCGATCCTTCCTGGGTGGATCCCCACGGCTCTTCCCCTTGTGGATGCCAGGACAATGGACACTCTAGCAATCCGATCATCGAATCAAAAACGTGTAGAACATGTGTAAAACATGTTCTACGAATGTTTCAATCATGTTTTTGCACATTTGAAGCATGTCTGAAACATTTCTAGAACTCTGGACATGATGTGGCAGCACGCTTCCTCTCCATTGATCGACTTCCACAAGCCCCTGAGCGGGTACCCCCTTCCCTTGGGCCGGCGACCTTCTCTGGGCGCGGGGCTGGGCCTGCCTGCGCTCCCTTGGGCCAGAGGGCCCTGCCTCATGCGCCTGCGAGGGCGACGGCTGGGACGCCTCGGACCCCGCGTGGTCTGGTGGGCTCGAGCTGGACGGCCCTGCCGCATGCTGCGCCCGTGAAAGCGAGGGCTGGACCGCCTCGGGCCCCTCTCTCCGACGGCCGCGCCCCTTCCCCCATGCGTGGAGTCGGCACCGTCGCCGTTCCCCCACCGAGCTCACCGGCGAATGCCACTCCAGAAGGAGGGCCCCTGGGCTGACCTGGGTGGGCGGCACCTGCCCTGCGCCCTGCAGGCCCCAGCGGACCGTGGCCGGCGGCCAGGGGCTCGAGCGGATCCGCCAGGGAGGGGCCCTCCCCCGACGAGCGCGAGCGGGAGGGTGGAGCAGTCACAGGCCGTGGGGGGGCTCCAGGCTCCGTGCAGCTCTCAACGACTGGCTCCCGCAGGCCGAGGTGCCGCTGTCTGGCGGCCACCGAGCCGGCCAGCCCAGGCACCAGGCCCACGAGGCCCGCGGTGAGGAGTGCCACCGCCTCGGCGGCGAGTTCCGGGCCGCACCCCACTGGTAGTGGCCGAAACCGAACCAGACGGCTGCAGAGAAGGGACGTGAAAGGAATGAGGGGCACCTCGCTACCCGCGCTTCAGCGAAGCGGCTAGAGCAAGCTAGGAACCCAAACTGTGCCTTACATGCTCCCCAACTGTCCTGCGTGGGGGTCTCGTGTTTTTGTTTTATGATGCGCTGCTCGCGCTTCTCCTCCTTCCTTCCCCTCTTCCCCCCGCCTCCTCCCTCATCCTGCCTCCTACCTCCTGGTTTCTTGCTCGAGGTAAGCCTAGAATGGTTCTGACGGTGATGATCCTGGGCGCCGCTCTTGAGCCAGTCTCTCTTCTGGGAGCTAGGGGGCGAGAACTGGGGGGACCAAGAGGTACCGATACCGCTGCTCCGTGGACCTACCCATGGGCGCAGTCTGGCCAGAACTCGGAGGAGAATCCAGCCGTGGCGACGGGGGCTCACCAGGACGAGCCGAGAGAGCGGTATCTTTCCCTCCTCCCGAGGATCGGTTCTAACGAGGATGCTCCTGAGCGGCGACCTGGCCGAGGGCCAAGTGGCCGCCTCCCCCGGTGAGAAGTGGAGAAGGCCGTCGCTGCCAGACCGCATCGGATCTCTGGACGCCCGAAGTGGGTACGGACAAAATGGGCATTGGGCATTGTATCCAGTCTTGCCGTACCCATTACGCTCGTGCAGAGGCCCTGGATGTTGGATCGCGTCGTCCTGCGCTGCTCGGCATACAGTCGAGGCGTTGACCTAAAGAACCCTCAATAAGGAACGAGGCCCCGTTTTCCCGCAGGTTCAACCCCGAGTTCCCCTGGGAAACCTCAGGAAAACCCGAGGCAAACTCTGAAACAATCAAGGAACACCGCGCCCCTCCCCAACGAAGAGGGTTCCTTCTTCAGCGCCCAGACTGCATTTGGCGGCGCGCACAAGGGGGTGGGGGGAGGGGGAGGGCTTCTTAGAAGCAGGGGTGCTTCTAAGAAGCCCTCCCCCTCCCCCCACCCCCCTCTGCGCGTGGCTGATGCAAGCTGCGTCGTGGCCTCCCCGCGGCGACGGGGCCCTCGAGGGGGCGGCACGGCAGCGGGCGGGCACCCCCGAGCGCCCCCCCGGGAGCCCCGCCCGCGCGCGAGGTGCCCCCCCCCCCCCCCCCCCGGCGCCCCAGCCAGGGGCCACTTGCGAACCCTGCCCCTGCCCCCCACGATTACAGGGGCCCCAGGACACACAAGTAAATACACACAAATTAAAAGATGCCCCATAGCTTCCCATATGCTCTGGGTGTCTGTCTTCCCCCCCACTTCCCATATTTCCCCATGTTTTCCTAGGGGTCGACGATTAATTGTCTGTGTGTTTTTTGTCCCTCCTGAACGATTTCTGAGGGGGAGGGCGGGGTTCACTTTGCTCGGGAGCTCCCGAGCGGAGTGCACCGCACCCTCCCCCTCGGAAATCGTGGGGGGGTAGGGGCAGGGTTCGCACGTGGCCCCCTACCAGCCTGCAGGGAGGAAGCATCGAGTCGGCGGTGGACAAGCCTCCCCTTTGGTGAGCCTCCCCTTCGTGAAAGCGGCCTGGGACCGAAGCCGACGGACCTGGGACCCCCGCAAAGATGGCGGCCGCGACGCCCTCTCGCGAACCGAACACGGCCAACTCCTTGCTCGACCTGTCAGGGTAGGAGGTCTATCCACCGCCGATCGAACCAGGTTCGACGATGCATCGCCGACAGATCGGCGCTGGGCCCCGGAAGGCGACACTAACCTTAAAACGGGCCTGTCCCCTACAGGGGGGATTTTCGACGAAAAATAAAAATACTCAAAAAATACCCCAAAATTGTTTTTGAACAAAAAATAGCCCCCCTGACTATATTTGGCTATATTTGAATTTTCCTCCTGTAGAGGGACGGGCCCGACTTGATCCCAGCGTTGCCACGGAAGGGCACGGTTCTGACCGTGGTAGATCCTGGGCGACGACCTGGCCGCGGGCCCAGTGGCCGCCCCCCTGGAACACGGACACGCACCTGTTGGGCGCTGCTTCAACTTGCAGGGACCGACCGTCCCGGCATCCCTATAGTCCTACCACGCACGACAGGTCCGTAGAACCCAGAAGTGCTCTGAGAACAGAAGCCCGATGTGAGAAAACAGAACAGACTCCGCCAGAGACGTTCTGAGAACACTCCGTGGAAACCACCAAAGGTGATTAGAACATTGTTCGGTAGGGCTACAGGCGCGCCAGGACGCTTCGCGACTGCTTGATCAACGGGGAGGGGGGGGGAGGGGCCAGTTAAACGGGGAGGGTGGGGGAAGCAGCGTGCACCGCGGTGGCAGCTTCGGAGCCCTTCTGGGCCTCGTGGAGGCCCCCTCTCTGCAACCCTCGCCCCCCCCCCCACCCGACCCCCGTGCACGACCCCCTCCCACTCTTGGGGAAGTCAAGAGGTA